AATACTTATACAACTGAATAAAGTGTTGTAATACTGTTGATTCTGACCAATACAGGGTTTACACTAAAGCCCGCACTTTGATTTGGATTAGTGGTTACTGTGACTTATATGTGTGTTGTCATTTCTTGTTTTTTATGGGTTTTATACTGACTTTTTAGTTATTAGTAGCTGAGAATTCTGAATTTGAGATGTGCAGTCTTTGAATTGAAATAAATCAACAAGCATATTTTGTTGGAGCAGAATCTGTGGGGGAAAAGACCAGTACTGACTACATGGGCTACTAACGACTGTGTGCACATACCTTACTGAGTCCAGGTTGGTCATGCCACTCTAGTTTATTTTGAGGAAGAAAAACTGCCATTCTACTTGTATTTCTGCAGCTCAGCTTTGTAAAGGATCAAAGGAAGAAGCTGGTATTGCTAGTGGGAATTTTTTATACTAACTTGTGAATATGCAACACGGATTTAGTTGACTCTTATTGTTGAGAGAAGTAGTTGTTCAATCTAATGTTCTTTATAGGATTGTGAAGGAAAATGAGAGCAAGGGGAGCTACACAGGTAGCCCTCGAATTACAGTTGTAAGGATTAGCTAGGATAAGGATTAGATGAGAATCATGATAAATGGAGTCATGCGACTGGTTTTGCAGCATTTTTTGCAGCAGTCATAAAGCCAACCTATTTACAATAGGTGGTTTTTGCCAGAAATTGGAAATAAACACTGACTTTTGGTGAAAAATCTAAACCAGTCCTGTGCCCACAGGATGCTGCAAACAACCATAAATGTAGTCTAGTTGCCAAGTGCCAAAATGCAATTGTGTGACTGGGGGGCAGACATCGGAACTTAAAATCCAGGTCATTTTGGGGTACATTTCAAACAGTCATGAAACCAGTTGACATTGGTATGCTTCTCTAAACTCATATATTTTCATGAGTTTTTATAATATATACTCAATTTTTAATAACACTTTACACTGAACAAAATCTAAAAAGAGGTGCTGTTACACTGCAAGTTATCAAATCAAAAAGCTCATTAAGTACTAATCCTCCAAGATGCATGGAAATTTGGATGCAGCTGGCGCTTAACCTTTATGAACTCAAGAATGACATTTGTGAAATTTGAGTTGTGAATTTGAGTTGTAAAACAGCAATGTTATTAATCAAAATTCAAATTTGTATAGCTGTCCATCTAAAGCAACTCTGGGCGTTGTACAACTATTAAATAAACAACAGATCTTAAATAATAAAAATAAAAATCTATGTTAAAAATAAACATTATAAAAACAAATATAAAAACAAAAATCCTGGGCAGAGAAACAATAAGAATGGCCACCTCAACAATCCAGCCATCTAAACATGTCCCCAATTTTCTGGGAGCCCCAGGCCTGATAACATAACAAGGTCTTGAGGGACTTCTGAAACTTCAAAAGGGATAAAGCTAATCTGATTTCAGCGGGAAGCAATAGCTTATGTCCTCCTCTGAGTCTAAAAACAAGTACAAATATTTTCATTCTGTATCACGTTACAAATTTTTAACTTCAGAGCTCAGCCTTAAGAAAAAATGACTTAGTAATTACCACTTCCATGTAATGAGAAAGGGAGAGAACATTAACAAATATGTATTCATAGTTTCCATTGTTTTCAATATCAATTAAAGACTATAGCTCAAATATGCTATTCACCAATTCATAATAATAAAACTGATAAAAAAAACTAATTTATGAAATTAAGAACATACTCATATAGTAAATATAGCTTCAAATTAAAAGATTTTTAATTTCTTAATTTAAAATTTAAGCAAGAAGGAAATGCACTAGAATTGAAAGATGTGCATAATTCTGCTGCTCTGTGAACAATGCATTTGTTTTTGTGTCTTATTTATTCCACACAATTGTGTATCTTCAGGAGGGTTGCCTTTATAGAAAAATACTGTTTTTCTAAAAGGAATATTCGGAATCTGGAAAAAATAATATTTCTCCAGATTATATGTTCGTTAACAATGACTTGTTAATAAAAAGGAGATGCAAGAATTTCACTTACAACAAAATTTGCAGATGTTGCTTTAACAAATAGTCATAAGTTAAGTTATATATTTGAAGAACAGATGGAACTTGTGCTCCTATTTTCTATATCATCTCTTAGAACATATTTTATTTCAGGATTTTCTGTTCTTATGAATTTCATATGCAAGGCATAGTGATAGTAACTCCAGTACTTAATTGTTTAGCATTCATGCATCCATAGTTGTCAATAAATAATATATTGTAGAGCCTCTGATGTTCTTTTTCTCTGTGGTTATCTTTTAATTGGGGTTTTTGTGAAAGACTATGTGATTCCATCACATAAAATGTTTTTTCTATGGGTCATTCTGTGAGTACAGCCTTGTTATAGGTGCACATTTAATATTATTTTGACAATATATTTGACTATCTATAAAGAATCTGAGATAATAGCCTATCCTTTATTTCTTTAGAAAACAATTGTACATGATGCATTTGTGCAAATTTCAAGTTTTGTTGTAAGTGAAATTCTTGCATCTCCTTTTTATTAACGTCACATTTTTAATGAACATACAATCAGTTAAGTGTCTTTTAATTTACACTGCATTTTCCCCTCTGATACACATTGTTATTGTTTGGCTGTCAGCTACATAGTATGTTACATATGTGCCATGGGGATTTGTTTGGTGAGAGAAAGAAACTTGAAAAAATAACACCTCATTCTAACATTTGTCTAGCATTTACAGTAATATAGCATGGATGGTGAACAACAAATTCAGTGCTTTGGAATGACCAAATCCAATTCCATAGAAATTTGTAGCAAGAATAAGCAGTTTATGTTAGAAAACCATCAAATGTTACTGAACTGAAACAGTTTAACAATAGAGAAATAGGGAAGAATGCCTACACACCAACAGAAAAATGGATTATTCATTACATGAAATGTTTAATTTGCAGTTTAATTGCAGATAAAGGTGGCACACTCTTTTAGTAAATCCAAGGGAATTATCTTTTCACATTGGCATATCAAGTTGGAAGACTTTGTCACTGGGACATTATTGTTCATTGAGCCTTCCTTTATTAGAGGATCCACATGAAGCGCTGATAATATTCAGTGGCAATATGCAAGAATTTAGAACAAACAAAAGGGAGCAAATGGTTTCTCACAGAAGTATAAACTAAACATGAACTTACATAGACCTACTCATACATTTTTAATGGTATGATACAGAAGTGGTTTGCATTTTTCTGGGCTATATACTTCCCAGTCTGTATGTGTCACCTGTACACATAGTTCCCCCTCTACTACTGTACTACAGGTAGTCCTTGGTTAACTAGAGTAATTGGGATTGGAATTTCCACCACAGAGCCATGCAATCATAAAGCATGATGTCATGTAACTGCATTATTTAGTATTGGCAATCTTAGCAGTCATCGTTGCCATCATTAGCCAAATCTCACTGTTAGGCGAGGACTCACCTCGATCCAAGGCATTGATTAATGCTTATTTTTTAATGGATTGGGTAAAGCTTATTTCTGTTAGAAAACGTATGTATTTACTTGAGGTTTCCCTATGCGTGGATCATACTGGAAATAACTATGTTAGTTCCATGTGGTGGTTATGTATTTGGTGGTTCTGTATTTATAGTAAATTAGGATGAAATAATTACCTAGATATTACAAGTGCTTCATGTGTGTACCTAGCTCTATGTACAAGTATTAAGGATGCAGCTGAGAACTGAACTATTCCCTTATATTTTGCATATATTCTCAGTTTGCTTCTTATTGGAAATTTATTTCATGTAATATTTTCATCAGTTTTATTTTGTGCCTTATCTAGCATGACACAAGTAACTTTTTCTGCTATAACCTCTGAGAAAGTATTTAAACATTTTGGCTTGGAAGTATTAATTTGCATTTGTATGTGTATTCAAAGGCATATTTTAAGGCAAATTGGGAATTTAACTCAGACATAATAGTGCTTGCTATCTGTAAAAATACGTTTAAGGTTTTCTCTAAGGTTTTCTCTGAAATCTAACTAAATGTTGTATTTGCCTGCGGTTTCCCTATGGATAATCCGAAGACTTCTTACCAATAGACATTAAAAATTGTGGATAGAACCTTTTTACTTTCTAAGTGAAGCTACTGATTATTGCTCATTATTTCTCTTATTATTAGTTACCTGCTGAGTAGGGTCAATGAAACATGTTGTCTGTATAGTGAGATGACAATAATTTATTCCCCTATCATTGATATTTTCAGCATTGGGGATTCTCTGTATCCAGAATAGGCATAGATAATGGCTTAGTGGTCAAGTAGTATGTGCAATGCATAGCCAGTTTCTCTGTTTCTGCTTTATACTTTATATTTGAAGTATTGGAAAGCACCATAGGAATATTAATACTTTAAATATGTCTGTGCATGCATAGCCACCCTTCCACACATACATACAATTTGGCCATTTTTAAAAAATGTTATAGTATAGAATGCATTTTTTCTCTTTTGGTGGTTAATCTTGATTGACAAATGTTTTACTTCTCTGCTTTGATTCAATTTGTATTCTTCCCAATTTCTTATAAATAGGAATATTACACATTTCAAAATTCATACTTCACTAAAAACTGAATTATATCACATGCCTATTTAACATTTATTTATTAAACTTAATATAATTTTAATCTTTCTTTAAAAGTTTAAACTAAGGTTTATATCACATAATTAACCAGAGAACATATTAGAGATCCTTGAATCATTCAATCCAGAATAACTGTCAAATGCCATTATGGAAGTGTAGAAATTCTTGTATTTTGCTCTAATACAGTATTATAAATACTCGAGTATTGATAGTGAAGTTGAAAGTATGTGCTGTCATAGGTTGATGATATGACAATTGTTGCCATTAGCCTAGCTAAAACATACAGCAGTGGCATTACACAAACTTTCTATTATTGAAAAACAATGTTTATATTTTGAGTTTTTATAATCTCCTTTTTTTTCCTCTTAGGAAATCTGCTGCAAGATCCAATTGCACCCACCAACTCTACATGTCAACATTATGTCTGCAAAACCTGTAAAGGCAAGAAGATGATGATGAAACCATCATGTAGTTGGTGCAAAGACTATGAGCAGTTTGAAGAAAATAAACAGTTAAGCATTCTGGTGAACTGTTATAAAAAACTATGTGAGTACATAACACAGACGCCATTAGGACGAGATATTAAGCAAGCTGTGGATAGTTTCCCAGATCTTTTGACTTTGCTTAAAGATGGCACCCCACTCAGTGTTGACACAGAAAAAGTATCTGATGAATCCTTGGCATTGTGTTTGATCCATTCCCCTTCTCCTTCAACTTCAGAGTATGCTAATGAGCCTCCAACAAGTTGTTCTATACCTGAAAGCACCTATGATTGTGATGTAAAAGGCTCCACTGTTAATGGTCTGCCCAGTTGTAATGGGCTCACAGTTGATAAACTTGGAGTAAATATTCCATCTCCTGAACATGGAAATACAGTCAATGTATGTAATCCTGGACAATACATAAAAACTGAAGATATTTCTAGTAGTCTTCAGCCTATGTGTGACATAGTTTCCCCTGGTGACTTGTGTGCAACCGGCATTGATATTCATAGTTTCAGTGAAGACATCAAACCTGGTGACCCTCTTTTACTTAGTGTTGAGGAAGTGCTACGGAGTTTGGACTCCAACGCAGGGGTATGTAGCCCTAATCTACAGCACAGCTTGGAAACCAATTTAACAAATTGTCCATTTTTGCAGCTTTCTCCCCCACCAACTAGCCACAATGTGTATATATCAGTGGATGCTTCACCTCATGGGATTTCATGTACAGCTGCAACACCTAAGGTAGCAAAATTAAACAGAAAGCGATCACGATCAGAAAGTGACAGTGAAAAGCTTCAGCATATTCCAATTTCTAGCATTCTTTGTGGCCCAACATTGGGAGCCTCAGCTCCAGTAATGATGAAACAAGAATCAAAGATGTCTTTGCAGTCAATAGCAACTGTACCTAATGGAGGTACTGCTCCTAAAATAGGTAAAACTGTATTATTATCAAATAAAAGCATGAAAAAAAATATAGACCATACCACCAAGAAATCTCATCCAAAATCTAAATCAGGAATGCTAAAAAAGTCAAAAGAAAAAAATCCTAGCAGTCATGTTGTGCCGGGAAGTCCAACAAAAACTGTGTACAAAAAGGCACAAGAGAAAAAGGGGTGCAAATGTGGCCGAGCTACACAAAATCCAAGTGTTCTTACATGTCGTGGCCAGCGCTGCCCTTGCTACTCAAATCGCAAAGCTTGTTTAGACTGCATATGCCGCGGCTGCCAAAATTCATACATGGCTAATGGGGAAAAGAAATTGGAGGCATTTGCAGTGCCAGAAAAGGCCTTGGAGCAGACTAGGCTTACTTTGGGCATTAATGTGACCAGCATTGCTGTGCGCAATGCCAGCACAAGTACCAGTGTAATTAATATGACAGGGTCACCGGTAACGACATTTTTAGCTGCCAGTACAAACGATGATAAGAACTTGGATGAAGCTATGGACATGAGATATGACTGCTGAGTCTTTCTTTCTCCCCTCCTTTGGTAAGGGGACTGCTACAATTTGAAGGCAGCTATGGTTCTCTTTAACTTGCCGGAGCTCCTGCATATAGATCACTTGTATCAAGTGTTTTCATTGCTATGTTGTGTGTTAGTGTCAGGGAAATAGTTTGCTGGTAATTGCGGAATTATCCCAAAACTGTCTTTAGATCTTACAACATCTCATAGTTTGAGATCAAATGCTAATGTAAATGATTTTTTAATACAGAACTACTTTTTGGCATATACTGACCTTGTTGTACCAATTCATGCTTTGTGCTTAATCAGAAATTGATTTAATATACTGAAATTATTTCTAGTCAGTCCATCACAGTTGTGCTAATTTATGATGTATCCATGTTCAGTATCATCATTGCAAGAAAAATGACATGCTAAACTAATAAAAACTTCAACAGCCAATCTTGTAATACCACATTATTTGTGGATAGGGAAGTTAATAATTCAGCACCTAAACTTTGTTCAGAAATAAAATATATTACTATAATTGTCCAACTACTGTATGCTGACCTGAAACCAAGAAATGATCATATTGGACTTTAGCTTCAGTTGATATCACTCAAGATCATCTTTTGGAAAACAAAATGTTGGCATTCCTGTTTTTTAATTTCACACCTTTTTTTTTACAGATTGATGTCATTAATCTGTCATGCTATGTCATAAACTTCACATTTATCATCGGAATATTTTTGCTGAGTTCATTATGAAATAGATACTGTATTTTTTAATTGTTATGCTAGTTGGCTAAAAAATAAAAATGGTTTAAGTCTTATGCCAAAGTTATTGAGACATCATTATATTTTAGATTTTAAAATCTGACAGCTATCTGCACATTCTTGCAGTTTAAGACATATAACACTGTCAAAACATAGTTTTCACTTGAAATTAACATTCTTTTCCAAGATTAAGTTCTTGGTTTTCCCCAATTTATATTCACAGTTTTGTTTTTGCCTGGTTAGAACCAGGATACACAAGGGGAAATGTGGCAGGTGCCTAGATTAAATCCTACTGTGCAAGAGTAGAATATGTCAAGAATGGAGGTTTTCTTCGCTGATAACCTTAAAGAGCTGATAGAAATCCTGCTGATTATGCAGGATTTTGAAATTAATTCTAAGTTACACCATTGGAAAAGTCAACCCACACTGAAAGTATGTTAATTCATATCAATATTACTTGTACCAGGATTGCTGTTTAATACTTAATTTTTTATTTTGCATAAAGTATGGGCTGACTAGAATAGAAAATACTGCGTTGTAGCCAATTAAATCTCTTCCTTGCAACCCTTAGGAAGGAGGGGAAGACTGTCAGACAGGAAATGTCCAATTGCACAAGTCAAAGGTTTCTTTTGCCCTTTTTGTTATCTTGCTTTATAAAGGACTATGTTCTGATTTACAGCAATATTTCAGCAGCTGTTGTAAAAAGACATTATGCCCTAGATTCTTAAATACCTTTATGTTTGCCATCTAATTGTTAACTGGTTAACGGCATTGTTAATGAACTGTAACATTAGATATGTTGGATTTGGCACAAAGCATGTACAATGATGGTTACTAGGTCTAAAAATAAGACAAAAGTTTTGGATACTGGTTGGGTGATGTCTCTTTTTTCTTCTATAGTGTACCAGGTGTCATTTTATGTCAATGTGAGCAAATAATTATTTTGTTGACTTTCAGATTTGTTTTCCCCCGTCTTTTCTATGGGTGGGGCAGGGTGTGGGGGGAGGGTTAAAGCCATAGGAAGAAGAATGTGATGTAAGTGTTCAGTATGTTTTTTTTTGTTTCTGTTTGCAAGAAGAGTTGAAAAATATTTTTGATAATGAGAGTAAATAGTGGAAAATGCTCTTTAGTATTCCTGTCTTTTTTTGAGGCTAACTTCTTGAATTTTACATTTAATTTGTAATTTAATATGTCCTATTAAATATATCAGTTGAATATGAATATGATTTTTATGTGGACCAAATAGGATATGCCATGATTTATTTTCCATGTTTGAGTCTTAACTTTCTAAAACAAAACTTTCTTTCAGTATCTTAAGAAGGCTAATCAAATCAGAAGTCTGGAAAATTATCCTCGCATAAATGGTGCTATGGAAAGCTCATGAAAATAGCCATTAATTTTTTTCTTTCTTTCTAAATACTTCTGATGGTTCAGTTATGAAGTTCTACTGTGTAATAAGTATACCTTTTCTCCATACAGAATAATTTCAGTATTTTGCAGACACTCAGTACCATTCTGTTAACTGGTTATTGAAATATTCCTTGGAATTGTTTATTTGTTATTCTGTATCTTTGATGGTTAATTCAAGTTTGTTTTTAATGAAACAAATTTTCTTCTTCATTGCTATAGAAGCTGAGGTAATAAATGTCAGTCCGAAAACTGAATTTTGTAAAATAACATAAAATATTTAATGCTCAGAATACTTTTTAAAAGATGTCTGTGCTCAATTTAATGAAATAATTATATAACTACCATGCTAGCCACAAAAGATTATCAAGAATAGTAGTTTGGAATCCCTATATTCTAACAACTTTTCTTTGTTCTTTTGGTTACTGTAAAACATAATTTTAGGGAAGGAAATTACATAAATACTTTTTTGCATTCTCTAATCTTTTCCATTGTTGCCTCTGAGTCTGATTGAATGAAAATATCTTTTATACTTAACTAAAACGTGGGGGGGGGGCTTTTTTGGCAACCTCTGCTAAATCTAGCTGTTGCTATAACTGCTTCATACACAATTTTCTTCCAGAACAAAGTTTTTAGTAGAAAAGTGTTGCCCAAATGTTTGCCACACAGTCACTATTTTGAGCATTCACAGAACAATAAAAATGCACTAAAACTGAGAAATAAATGTGGAAAAATAACTTGCATATTTAAGTTCCAGTTGGTTGTTACATGTTGTCTAAAAATAATTGAAAATAGTGATTCCACAAACACTGGGTTCAGATGTTGGTACATAATTTATAAAATCCATAAGCAGAGTTTCATAGGAAATAGAACAAATTACAGTGAGGTAGGAAGACTAGATTATTTTTTTCTCTGGAATCCTGCTTTGTAAGCATTGTTTCATTTTTCAAAAATGAAAGCAAACATAATTTTGAAGTTAGATTTGTCATTTCAGTGGGTAAAGGTTTCAGTTGCAAGGATTAGTCTTCACTTGCAAAGGTTCTAGATTTTTTTTTGAAACCTAGTAGTGTGCAGTGATCTCTGCCTTTGCTTCTTGGGGTGATGTTCTACTGGTATTAAGGTTCTTACTATTTAAATGTTGTGAAGAATTGGTATGTGGTTGGAATTATTTTCTAAAAACTCATGGTTTAGGTTCTGATATATTTCTTTCAAAATGCAACTTCAATATCTCTACAATGATGTGGCTGAAGTCATTGGTTTTCCTAAAGGTTGCTGTGAGACTATCATTTCTAAGGAAAACACTAGTGAATTAAATAAAAATGTTATAGTCTTTTCTTATAATTAATGCTGTAATGCTGAATGGTGTATCAATTTTGCCCAGATGGTGCCTATTTAAACACAACTGCAGGGAAGATCACACTTCCAATATGTTTGGCTCGTTAAAGACAATACCTGATTAATCAGTTGTACAACAATTTGTATGCTCTTATTGTACAATCATGTTATGTAATGATACAGCATAATTCTATTTTATAATCTTTTAAAATTATTTCATATACATATCAAATATGAAACTGGTGTTCACAGCACAAAAAAATAGCAAAGTATGGGATTCTGGTACAACAGTTACTAAAACAGCTGATATGGATTTTTAGGGAAAAGTACAAGAAAGATATATATATCTTATAACTTCAGTTTTTTAAAAGGAGAGTAAGTGGTGTTGTGTCTTTTTCTATCTGCTTTAATATTGCATTGATTAAACTCACACAAATGGGGGGGAGTTTACAAATTGTATTTATTAATTTTACAGCTGTTTCTATTAACCGTCACATATACTTCTTGAGATTTATATATCAAACTAAATCTCATATTGTATCTTAGACATGAATTCTAATTTTAATGAGAAAACCCCAAGAACTCTTGTTTAAAGTAAGATGGGAAAACCATAAAATCACAGAGTTGGAAGCAACAATTTAGTCCAGGGGTAGTCAACTTTTTATACCTACCGCCCACTTTTGTATCTCTGTTAGTAGTAAAATTTTCTCTAACCGCCCATCGGTTCCACAGTAATGGTGATTTATAAAGTAGGGGACAAAACCCCTACCGCCCACCATGAAAGCTGGAATGCCCACTAGTGGGCGGTAGGGACCAGGTTGACTACCACTTTTAAGTACTGTATTGAAATCCAAAGCCAAGTTCTGTACCATGTTGTTATCCAGCTGTGTTTCAAAACATTCTGTGAATGGGAGTTAATTGCAGCCTTTGGTAAGTGGTTCATTTTCAAACTGATATAACTGTTAGGAAGAACTAACATTTGAAATCTGACTTCCAGTTCTTGACCTTTTTCTGTATGATACTTTCAGGTACTTGAAAACTGCTATTATGTTTCAACCTACTCATATTTTCTGTGGACTGATAACCAATTTCTTCAGACACTCCTTGTTAGACTTAATTTCTAGGAGACTGAACATGCCTCTTACCTATAGAGGTAGTCCATGACTTAGAACCATTGGTTTAGTGATCTAAGTTACAACGGCACTGAAAAAAGTGAGTTACGACCAGTTTTCACACTTAGGACCATTGCAGCATCCCCATCGTCACGATCAAAATTTGGGAACTTGGCAACTGGCGTGTATTTGCAACAATTGCACTGTCCCTGGGTCATGTGATCCTCATTTGTAACCTTCCCATCCGGATTCCAACAAAGTCAATGAAGGAAGTCTGATTTGCTTAATGACCACATGATTCGCTAACTGGCAAAAAGTCATAAAGTAGGGGAAAACTCAATTATCTTGCTTAGCAAAACAAATTTGGTCATAAGTTGAAGACTACCTGAACTGTTCTTAAAATATGTTTAATGGGTTGAATTGAACTTAATATTTGAAACAGTGTTTAACCAATAGTAAATATATTCTATTTGGAAACAATATTTTTACTGCTACAGATTGTATTATATCAATACATTTTCATTTTTAGCAATGTTACCACACTGCAACTCAAATTCAGTTTATGATTCAGTTTATTATTCCCAATATTCTTTTTACAGGTGCTAAATCACAGATATACCTATCTTGTATTAATGTATATTATTTCTTTTCTCCATGTTCATAATTATTTGGGGGGAGGGGGTTTCCTATATTTTCCATTCATTTGTCTAACCCAGAGGTGTCAAATTCACAGCAGCATCACATGACATATCATGACTTTTCCCCCCTTCACTAAGCTAAGTGTGGGCGTGGCCAGCATGTGACGCATCTGGCCCGCAGGCCATGAATTTGACAACCCTGCTGGAACCTATCATGATTATAGAAATGGGATCTGAAGCTCAAAACAAAATAAATGGGATGGAATTTTTAAAAGATTTCGGGAACATAGAGGAGACAGACAATTCAGGGAAGAAACAGCCATTACAGAGGGAAGACTCAAGTAACTCTGCTTTAATTACGTTAAGCATAAGTTTTTGGGAGAATTTGGTAGGCTTTCAGGATTCTGTTACACTACCCTATCAACAATAAAAAATCTTTCCAGAAATCCAAGTGGTTCTTATTCCTGAATTTGCCAGATTTGGAACTAGACCAATCACACGAGAGAATAAAACACCAAGAAAGAGGAAGCAAGGATTCCTTTTTAACTTTTAAGTATATAAAAACAAAATAATCAGTAATGGAGAAATTAAAAATATATTGATGCTCAAAACAAGGCTTCTTAAAGGAACCTTTAGTAGAAGAATATACAAAAAAAGCTAAGCAACATATACAATGGTGATTGTTCCCATTTTGAATTAGCTTTGACTTAAAAAGGCTGCAAGTTTCATAAAAACACTCAGTGACAGTACTTGTACAGAGACGGTATTCCCCAGAAATAGGAAATTTGAGAGAACCAAACAAACCTGGATTGTTTTTTCAAGTATCCAAAGAACTTCTTACACATTACCTAGTTGTAATCCTGCTACAACAATCCTATAAAATCAACATTGTATTTTGTAGGCTGATGTGGCGAGTGGTTTTAAGGTTGAGAGAGTTGCTTGCATAAGCAGAGATTAATTCACAGAGGGCTGCCCTTTCTCACTGCTGAACTACAACATACTGTATATGCTTAATGTTTTAACCAAAATCTTTTCTTAAATATGAGACCACAGGACTTTTAAATTATCAGAAATTTTTAAAGAACTTTCCCTATAAAGAATATTGCTATAATCAGAAAGGTAAGTCCATTTTGTTTACTATTTAAAAAGAACCTGGTCACTGTTGCTACTTGGGTAAGAATCAGGAGCTGTTGCAGACTTCAGATATTGCTCCTTAGAGAATAGAGTGAATTGCATTTTCTGCTTCTCGTAATTGCTCATCATCTTCATTTATATAATGTTTGATTTATCTTTATTTTAATTATTAATCTTATCCAGCATCTCATACTGTTTAGGGAAAGTATTGCTTCTCTTGAATTTGATGGAAAGTAGAAATGTATCTGCATTTTGTCATTACTGATACCTATACATTAAACCAAGAAATGGTTTGACTTCACACTGTATGCCATAATGTAATTGGTTTGCTTTGGGCTTAGCATAGCTAAGGATTATAAACTCAGTTATTGGGATTTGTGAAAAACCATTTATGGCATAATATGGTGTTTGACCCAGTCAGTTGTAGTTTATATGATAGACCAGGGATAAAGCCAGAATCAGATTGAACTACTCTATGATTTAATGCACTACTGTATGAATCAAGTTTTACCATTGGTTGATTAATTAAATTTTAAATGCATTAATTACAGGCAATAATCCAAGTTGGATTCAATTACAGAGTAGAGCTATGGCTGTGTTTTTGTGATGAACTATATATGGTTGATTTAGCCATGTTATATGTTTTTAACCTGATTTTTTGGTTTTGCAGATATAACACAGTATACTTGCACACATTTGCTAAGGAATATGGTGATTTAAGCCCCATGGCACTTACAAAAGAGTCTGTATATCCTCATACTACACTTTCCATGCTGCTTTTTGGTGTGTTAGCACCAGCCTTTATCTCACAGAACATCTGTCCCTAATTTTCAAGAACAGTGGCACCTTCTCTGACTTTTCTCAATGTAACCTAATGGGGAGCATAGTAAAGTCATCTGAAAATGAGTGGCTAATTCAAGATGTAGATTCAATCCTTTTATTATATATCAAGGTCAGTGAATTATTGGTAGTGAAAGACAAACTGAGGAGGGAAAACAAAACAAATTTGGGAAAGATGTGGTTGCTTCAGTACCACTGGGCTTCTGACTGTAAGCAGAAATTTGTCCAGCCCAAAGGAAGATGAGAGGGACATATACTGATCCTATTTCCTGCTTCCCTCTGACTCCTACATTCAATCTGTTGGCAGAAGGCTAGATGGGTAAGCAACATTTGGCTGCTTTGAAACAGAGGCCAAAATTTGAACTCTGGTGAGCAGCAAGGGAAGGACAAGGGAACAACTTGGATGCCTGTTGGTGAGTAGGTCCAGCTGGGGGGTGCAAGTGATCAAGGGGTGAGCCCTCTTTCTGGAGGAGGGGCCTTTGGAGACACACTGGTATGGAGACTGGGGTAGCAGTTTTCTTTGCAGGCCACAGTTAACCTTTGTTCCCCCTGCCCACCCAGCAAAGTGGCAGGCAGTTCCGTAGGTCAGCTGATGGGGGATGAGGAGTGATTCCCAATTCTCTCTGCCAGCTTCCCAGAAAGCCAATGGAAAAGCTGGCAGGAAGTTGCTTCTGCTCCTACTGCTACACCCATTTGGTGACCCAACAGAGAAGTGACGATTGTGTACTACTCTGTTGGAAGAGTGATCTCTGACGTTCCCTGCCAGCTTTTCACAAGCAACACCAATGAGAAAGCCAGTGGAAGTTGCTCCCACACCTGCTTTTCTGCTCGCCCATTGGTTCATTCCACTGTTTCCTCTCCCCTCCCCCAGCAAAGTGGCAAGCAGTTCCACAGGTCAGCTGAGGAAGAGGAGTGATTTCTGACCCTTCTTTCCAGCTTTCTACAAGCAAAATCAATTGGGGAATCTGGAAGGAAGTTACTCCCATTCCCATTGCTAAATATTTCCAATATTTAGATACGTCCCTCTATCAAATGTTGCAGATTTTTATTCAACTGATTCAAAATGGCAGCATATTCTGTCACATCTATTACAACCTTATTCGTTTATCTTCAGAAATATGTCCAGTTCAATGAGAATTAGTTCTGGGTAAGTGTGAATTCTATTTTGCTTCTCTAGATATTTCTCTGTTGCCATAATTCCTATTATGAAATGGAGTACAAATAACATCCACTAGTTTTAAAAATAATTTTAATTGCAAAAGAAAAAAGTACAAAGTAAAATAGCTAAGGCAAAGCCATTCCCAACATAAGTCAGTTTTGACAAACTCTAATAAGTTTTATAACTTTTTTCTACCTCTTAGAATATCTATAAATTTTAACATTTAACAAAGCATAGGATACATGAATAAGTATTAATTACAAGGATTTGTTCTTGTTTAATTTTATAATTTCTTCACTAAAATATCTTAATTAAACCTAATATACTTTGATTTTAAATATGCAGAACAAATTATTTTTGGCATTGAACTTAGTCTTTGAAAGCTATGCAATATGCTCTAAAGATATCTTAGAACAGTTTTCATGTTAAAATTGGAGAATTATGTCAAATTATCTCATCCACCTATTATTTTTATTAATAGCTTTGATATTGCTTGGAATAATTAATCTTGGTCTATATCTTTTGCTCAATACTGCCTCTTAGTGGCAATCTCTCCCCTCCCCCCCAAGAAAATATCTAGTTGCTCTATTAAAAAATAAACCAGGAATAAAAACATGATACCTATTATAGTATACTTTTTTCTAATAAAACCAAGCAATCCCATTTCAATTAATGAAAAACATTTTGCTCAATAGGAAAAGCTACTGTACGTATTATTATTAACCAAATACTGCTTGAGCCCTTTATTGAAAGGAAAATCAATATAATGTACCTAACTGGATAATTTTAACCCCTTTCTTATGAGGTAGGTGTTGTTATTTCTGTCCATAGGCAGAAAGATTAACCTACATAAAAGCAAAAAAAAAAAAACCCCACTTTTTCATGTTATTGAATATAATATCTTAAGGTAGCCAAGCAAAACAACATTTATGTCAATATGTTTTTGGCTTCAAGTGTAATAATGCTACTACTTACTAACAATGGCCTCTGGTATTTGATAGGGTTTAAGACAACAATATAATGATTTCTCCAGGCAATTATCAGTTATCTCTTTATGTACAAATTTGTGTTTAACATAAAGGGATTTAGGAGTGATAAAGGGGGCCTTTAAAATATAAAGTTTAGACTGAGAGCATCCCTGTAATAGGAACATTATAATAGAAATCATATTGCTAAAATAAGTTTGGGACATCCAAGGGTTTTGAGAAATGTAAGCAAATTGTATTTAAGAAACTGTTTGAATTCTCCCTAAAACAATTTTCTTCAGATAAAGTATATATTTCAAAATAGATTAGATGACTAATTATTAGAACAATTTTCAAAGTAAAAGCTGTAAGAGCTTTGCAGGAGCTTGGTTCACCATGCAAGCCAAAATGAATTCAGTATACAGCAGTGTCATTCCAGTTTGAACCATGCCAGTCATTTTGATTTAAAAAACAGTTGGAATTTGTCAACTCACTTTATCAGTGTTTTGTAAATAATAAATTAAAGTATATCATCCATTTCTTCACCATAAGAAAATGTGTTAAGTCACATTTGTTAAACTGTAAAACTATCATAAACACACTGAGAATATACTAGAGAAATGGGCACAGAACTAGTTTTCCTAACAATTGGATTGTGTTAAAGGGAGCATTTATGGAAAACAAAATTCAAATTATAAGTTTGAAAATAAATTCATCCAAATCAAAATAATGTGTATTAACATACTATATGTTTAGATGGTGAAACAGTTTTGGTTGGCACGGGAATAAAATAAGCTTTCACATGCTTCAAGCAGAGAGATGCTAATGTTATTGAAAACATTAAGTCCTACGATAGTTCAAGAAAGCAAAACGTATCAGGAAGGTAGGAGAAATCCCTTAAATCATCTGGCAAAGATTGGAAGCAACTCATATGCTGACCCTTGGCTTCTTATCTTGAGGTGCAGAGTACACCCTCCTCCCCCCCCCCAAAAAATAAACAGATTCTCCAGTAGAGTCCTTCACAATGATACATAATGCGCTGTTGCTTTTTTGTTACCATCCCAGTGAAAACACCAAGGGAGCCCTACATTTTAAGCATCGAGAGTTTTTGTTCACTCTTTTTCTATTTCAACAGGGGGGTTTTATGGAAAAAGCAGCAGTAGAAATACATGTAAGAAGTACAAAGGCAAGACATTTCTCTGGATCCCATAAAACTCATTGAAAGGGTTGATTAAAGTCTTTTCACAGGCAACTTTTCTCAAAAGTAGCCTTTGATAAGCCTGATAACTCTTGTATAAACTATAGATTGAGAGATCTACTTATTAGATTATTTCCATCTACTATTATATTATTTACATAATTTACCTTAGATCCATAAAGTGGATTCTGTATACTGTAATTCTCCTATAATCGATTCCCCCACTTTTATTTTTAACATTTATCAGCTCATATTCAAAAGGAGCTAAAAAATAAGAGATTTTTCCCCTCTGCTATAGAGAAGACTTTATTTGGTATTGCTTCAGAAATACATCTGAGGAGAATTTACTGTTTTTTTTCCAGCACCTAGCTAGGGTGGATCTTCCATGTTAAATTTATTTGATCACTTTTTCCTCTTTTTTTGTTACACTATTTTTTGTCTTTTGTTATTGTTAGTGTTGAATGTATGCTTTTGTTTTTCTGTTTTGTATTTTACTTTTTATGTTGAAACAATAAATATTTAAAAAAAGAAGTTACATTTTCTAGTTCTAGTTCTAGAATACTTCTGATTATTATTATTTTTATTTTACAAATAACTGAAGTTGGTAAACATATCTAACACACCTTCTTCCTTCAATTTTCCCCACAATAACAACCCTGAGAGATGGATTGGGTTATAAGTGACTGATCCAAAGTCACCCAGTTGCCTTTCAGGGCTAAGGTAGGACTTCATTATAACAAATATGATATTTTTAAAATTGCAGACATTTTATAACAGTTATGTTCAAGGCTGCCTATTAGCAATCTTTGGAGAAAAAACATTTTAAAAGTGCACATAGCACTATTAAAAATATTAGTACTATGATAATCATACCAGGATAAAATTTATTTTTTAAAAAAAGGTGCAATAAGCTCTAGGTGCAATAGACTAATAAGGTGCAATAGACTAAGTCTTTGAAACAAAATTTTCTTTCAACTATATAGGATTTTATTGAAAAATATTTGGTAGTGTAAAAAATGTACATCATAGTGGAATTTATCTTATGCAATAGGTCCTTCCAGATGAATATTATATAAATTCATTAGTAATAGTCCTCCAGGCTTTCAGACTATGGCTTTCTTCAAAAATAGCTGGAATCTGCTGGATACTGAATTTGAATTTTCCCCTCCAATTGCTTTGAACCTTTTGCACAGATTTATAACCCAGAAAATTGTTAATCTACTTGGGGCTATGGGGCAAAACTTTCATAGTCAAAATGAAAATTACTAGCTTAACAAGCTAGATAAATACTAATATCAACTCTTAACACATTGTTACTGTAGATATTTCATAGTTGTCTGATGGCATTTAAAGGGAACCCTCAAGCCCAACTTACTTCAAATCTTTAGCATGCAAATTAAACTGTAAATGATATGTTAGACTGACTATAATTCTGCTACTACAGTATCATCATCATGTTTCTACCCAGAATTCCCAAGATATATATTCAAGGATACACACACACATAGGAAAAATAAAATCTTTTAGTGTATTTTTACAATGCACAATTATTAGTATTGTGTTATCAGAAATAAGCTAAGCACTTAGGAATTGAACATTGTAATTCCTAACTTGTTCAATTTGCCCAAAGTATGCTCATATTCAATCACTTAAATTAAAACAGTACTTTAAAGATGAATGCAAAACATGTCTTTCAAAGGAAATTGAGTTTAAGCTGTTCTATCACCACATGAGAAATGGACAAAAATTTATCACCAATCCCTTCAGAACACAGAAAAATCCTTATACACATTGGCACTAAAATCTGCTACAGAAGCATTTTCAGACAGCTATGTTCATATAGATTTTTGGTGGTGGTGAACCAGGTGCCTTAGAAAAACATCCATTAAAAATTAACCTGTAGGACTGAACAAAAAGGTATTTTCACAAAAAGCCTTCTCATTTGCAATTCACATATAATACCACTTAAAGTGTGTTTGTTGCAGACTATTTTCTCGGTTCCTGAACTGAATCATTTCATCATCAGGAACATTTGCTTATACGCAATATTAAACTACAGTATTCTGTTCGTTGCTTGTAATGTTAGCGTATGCTGATTGATTGGATGATTATACACCAGCAAGTTTTTGTCAACTCTTGGAGACCATATAGATTTTTCCATGATGATCTGTCCCTAACCTGCTTCTTCAGGTCTTCCAATAATGCACCTATCACTACTGTAACTAAATTCATCCATCTTGCTACTGGTATTTCATTTCCTTCCATCGTTCACAGCATTTTCATCTTCTCTAGAGATCTAGGTCTTTCAGTGATGCATTTGAAGTAGAATAGTTTGAACCTACTCAGTTGTACCTCAAGTGAGAATTATGGATTTCAATTGTTTCATAATCCATTTGTTCTTTGTTTTCCTGACTGTCCATGGTATTCTAACAAGTCTTATCCAACACAAAAGTTCAAAAGAAGCAATGCTCTTTACTAGCCTGATTTCAAATTACAATTTTAACTTCCAGAAAAATGTCACAGAAATATGATTACCTGCACTATTCTGATCTCTGTAGGTATGCACACATCCTAGCATCTAAGTATCTTTTTAAGGTCTTCATGGCTACTAAGTGCTAGACTGTAGTATATTCCTTGATTGCTTGTTTCTTTAATGTTCATCCTAAAAGGCAGAAGCTTTCTACCACTTCATTATCACTTCTAAACAGATTGTCACTATGGCATTGTTTTATCACAGAATCATAAAATGAAAACACCTCTGATTGAAAGTCCAATCTCCTACTCACTGCTGGATTTGCTAAAACATTTTCAAAAGGTGGCCATACAGTCTTTGTTTGAAGACCTTCACTGAGAGGAATATACTGGCTCATGAGAGGGAGCCAATTTTATACTACTAAGAACCATTTAAAGAATTTATTGTAAATGTTTCCTTTATACAAATGAGGATTTTTCTACACTTCAATTTAAAATACTTTAATTTGATAGGGCTTTGCTATCAGCTATAAATTTTAGGTCATTCACTTCTTTGATTTAAGTTTGGAAAACATATTCCAATTTCTCTTTTATGGAGGGGGATTGTTGCATTTATTAAAGCATTAATGCTTTTTGAGAAGAATTCTAGTAAAATTACATCCGCAAAAATCCCCATGAAGAACAACTATGAAAACAAATGGGCCATCTCTTCTATATTATACTTTAAACCAAAGAAACATGAATTTGATACTAGATTTAAATAAACTCTTGAAAATTCCATATTATTATCATTCAGTATTCTATAATGCATATAAATATCTGAAGTGAGCTAGAAATAATCTAGAAATTGTCAGGTACTTCTGATACATCAAAAAACTGAATATTAGTATACAATTACATTGTAATACAAGAAAGAAGCTGAACATAGCATCTAAATAAGAAAAGGAGGAGGAATAATCCAAAATAGAAAAAAAATCCTCAAGTATTTATTGATTGTTTTTAATTCTTTTTTTATATATAAATATGAAGCTTTTCACCTTTATCCAGTCTTTGTTGTTTCTTTACAGGTTCCATGAATGTCTGCACAAATTCTATGTATACCCCAATAGTTAGGAAAATTATCACATTAGAGAAACAAATAATATATCTTGCATAATTATGTTTTTGTTTCAGATGTTGGTACTTCATCAAATAACATTATTGTTTCTTCAAATGTAAGAACTGAAGTCTTGTGTTTAATAATGGTAGACTTTGAGGGCAAATCTCCATTCTTACGCTGAAAGATGCGAAATAACTAAATTATCTGACTTTTCTCCAATTTCAGACATAGATAAGAGTTCATCTGTTTCATAATCATCTTCAAAGGAACTACAAGAAATGAATAAAAAGATTAACACTAAAATAGTATGACTCAATTTCTAATATTCAAATGACACTAATTTTAGAAAATATAAAGACAAATATAATATAAAACATAGCCCTATGAAACATAAAGACAAAGCAAATCTGAATTACTGAATAGGGGAACTGGTAAATACAGTTGAGTGTAAGTAAAGGATTCATATGAGGATAGTTCAAGACACATGCTATGATAATTTATAACATTCAACTGTAAAAATTGCAAATGTTTTTGTAGCCATTTTCTTCACCATTTAGCCATTTTCTCCTTATATTTTTTGTGCATGCCTTTACTTGCACATTTAAAGTGACACAGTATAAGTTTTGCAAAATTAATAAGGAAAACCACTTCCCAAATGACTGATTTGGAAGGGGTAGTCTCTTTGTTTGGTTGGTTATCAAACTTTTTAATTGCCCATCTCCCTCATAAGTGTTGGGTTCAAATGACACAGGAAGAGGCACATAGCTTTTGAAGATAGTTCCTTTATGCACCTGAGATAAACTAGCATCTGAGCTTTTTCCACATATGTAAATGATCCTAGAAGTGTATGCAAGTGTCATTCCTTATTAGTATAGGATTGGAGAAGGAGAATATGCAAATTCCCAAAACACAGATTATTATCTGGTCTCTAGAATAAGCATGGCATAACAAAGTGCTGGAGTGCTAAGAGTGCTGGAGAAGAAAAATACATTTGGTTGATAACAAACACGGTGCTTTCAAAATGACTACACTACTTTGAAATACTGCCTATTTTCATTCAAGCTTACCAAAATTAGTCTGTAAATTAAGGCTGAGCTTCCTCATGGTGACCCAGTTCCTTTTTCCAGGATGTTTTTTCAACTTTACAGTCTGGCATTAAATTAATAAGCAGATCAAACCATGCTTAACATTTTGAAATCAGCCAAGTTAGGCAAGGCACTACCAAAAACTCATAGTAGCTAGCATTTCAAGTTTAGTTACAAACAGGACAGTCCTTTTTTCTAATGTGGATTGAGATCAGGGCCTCTAAAATATCAAGTCTTTTGATCTGAGCCTCTCATTTAATCTGTTTCTTTTTTAACTTCATCAGGAATTTCTTCTTATATTTCCATCCTATTGCAAACATCAAGTTGAAATTATTTATTTTGGTCATAAGACTGGTTCATAATTTCGCACACTGCATTCAAAATAACTTCCAGGGACTCCTATTGATTCTGGAATGGTAAGGATTGTATGTGTTTTGCAAGGTCTAAGGAATAAGGTTGTGAGGTTGGGTTTCTTTTTTCATCTTACCACTCTAGAGATCTTTAATTAGCCATTTGATTTTGACTCTTAGTAACATTTTTTTTTCTTTTAACATGGTTTGTCATTTTAACTTTATTTCAAAACACTACTAGTTTCAGTAATGAGTTTCAGCACTTGGAACAGCAATTTTAAGATGATTTTGCTCACCCTTCTTGTAACTGTACACTGCCAGACTCCTCAGCTACAAGAATTTCATATTCCTCAGCAGCATATCTGTCCCAATCAGAGGGTTCTGGACTATCATTTTCAACATCCTAGATAAAAATGGAATAGAAAGAAACAGTTAAAATGCAACAAGTCTTTTAAAGATTATGACCTGCATAATTGTAAGTATCTGCAATAAATAGTGTAATAAACTATTAGTAAGCATTTAAAGAAGATTAATTGCATACTTTTTGGTAATTATCTATAAATGAAATATCCTGCAAATATCATGGAAAGTTCCTAATCAGGTATACAAAATAATTAAAGCTTAACGATCACGTTTGTATGTATCTCAAATTTAGATAAGTCAATCCAGAGTGTCTTAATTCATTTCAGCTAAACAATCAGTCCCACAGGTACAGGTAGTCCTTGGGGTCAATTTGTTCCGCAACCAAAGTTTTGACAGTATTGAACAAGGGAGATCAATGATCTGTCCTCAGATTTCCAACAGTGCTAGCATCCCCAGAATTAAGTGATAATGATCTGTGTGCTTAATGCCAGGGTGGTGATTACATGGCAGTGAGCCGCAGTCATAGAATCACAATTTTCAAGTTCCTTACTGGCTTTACATAAGGAGTTAATGGGGAAGCCTTCACAAAGTTGGAAGTCACAGTCATGAGAAGACCTCACTTAATAATGACAACCAGGACTGATGTCAGTAAGCGACACAATCACGTAACTTTATGACTATCTTGCTAAGTGACAACAATGTAAGTTGAAGGCTACCTATTCAAGAAAATGCAAAGTATTGAAATTATTTATATTTAAAAATATTAAGGAAGAGAGACTTTAGATTCTTCATTAGTATATTTTAAAAATTAGTTTAGTCATGATACAGGAGTTGTTTCAAAGATTTAATCTTTGACTTAAGGAAAAGGTTGCAGAGTATTTCTGATCTTGCCATCCTTTCAAACTGAAACAATTTTGAATGTTTACATAACACATTAAATCATTTATTAGATATGCATACACCCACACAAACATACTGCTACCTTTTCATCAACCTCATATGGCTCCTTAACCATATTAACTTGCCCAAAGCCAAGGGGTTATGGTTTCAGTCAACAGTAACTGAAATCTGGAAACATGATTTAAGCATTGGTTTAATATTAACAAATATTAACAGAAAATGGTATTGTTTGGTTGTTATTCTACATTTCACAACAGAAAACCCTCTGCTCATGATTAATGATTGCATATCATACTAACTCTCTTCCTTACAGGAACTCAGTCTAAGAAAAAGATGTCTTTTTTAATTTTTAATTTTATATTCAACATTAAAATACAAACTCCCAAAACTAAACAAGACGTTTAAAAAATGCACAGAAAAAATGTGTGCACACATAGGTGTAAGTAATAACATGTAACATGTCACATATATATATATTACCCTCTCATCCTGTTTTTCTCTATAACTACCACCATGTGATGTAATTTGGCTGAGATAGAATAATTAGCCCAATGTGGTAGGTACACAAGACCGAGGAAACAAAATCTACATATATTTCAGTAAGATATCTTGTAATGCTTGTCTGGGATAAATACAGACTCTTGGAAATTAAAATGAATTTCCCAGTCTCATTTGTAGTTAAGGAGTATAATCAGTCAGATTTCCCCTCATTTGCATTGAGTTGCCATTTATGAAAGAAGCTACCAATTGACTCATTCAATGTGTTTTATCCCCAATCTCTCATATCTAAAGTCACTCAGAATCTAAATGAGCATGAGAGTTGAAGATGGAACTAATAGTTTTTGACCTATATATAGAATTTATGTAAATATATGACAGCTACTCAGTTTCAAGTCCACCAAGCACAATTCCATGCATTTATACTACTGCGTGCATTTGTACCCTCACTGATGGCCAGTAGTGTTCTGTATGGTTGCATTCTTCATTCTTGTTTGCAATAAAATTCTCATCTAACTGAATTGTCTACACAGTTTAGCCTTGGACAGATGCTAAGCTGTGAAGCTTTGTGATTTTCCACCTTGTCCTAGTAAGAGGAGGCTGACCATGAAGCATAACTGAAAGCAATACAAATCAGACTCTACAAGCCATTTCACAAACAATCCAAAAGGTTGCAATTGGAGTAATCAATGGTGGTTTCATCCCAAAACTTTGAGAACAGATATATCAATCACTAAATTCAGTACTTCCTCTTCCTCCATCCTGCCTCTCTTCCACCAAGGAATTTAAATGTTAAAATGAAATTTAATATCTGCTTTTTTGCAGTACGGTACAGTTCCAACATGTATATCAGAGCAAAACACCACCAAAACTTTTAAATAAAGAGCCTATTAGGAACATCGATTTCACCTTCAGTAAATGAAAACTACCCCAAATTGTCACTAACGGCAATAGGCTCAGGCTTTACCACTAATGAGATTAAGCAATCAGATATAATAATATCAGTTTAGTAAGAGGTGCAAAAATGTATGCCAGGGTACAGTGCGATGGCTAATTTGCTCTGGGTCATAAGAGTATAACGCAATGTACACTTGCCTTAATGTTCATCTGCAGACATTGTCATGGAATTTATACTACTAGCCATTCCTGCTCAATTAGATAAGTGTTCTTGTTACTTTTCTCTATAATGTTCTAGTTTTTCCTTTAAGTAATCATTACTTTGAAGTAGAGCTGCTTTATACCTTTTGCACAGCAAAGGGATCCCGTTGTTCATTGTCCAGATACTTTTCAAGGTTAAAGAAAGTATTATAAAATACATGAGCCATTCTACATCTCTTCAAATCTCGTAGAGTAATTCTTCCTGAAAAACCACCATATTAACTATCAGTATATTAATCATCAGCATATTAACTATCAAACCAACAGTTCTTAGTGGATTGGAATAAAGGAGCCCCTAGTTTATGTCCCATAACAATGACTAAAAATTTGTATTTCTAAGCTGAATTACATGTTTTGCAGTATGCTTACTTCCAAAACAAGTTGATTGATTTTGTGAATTCAGTTTGCATCAGTGGGCACCAACCTGATCATGTGAACTTGTCACAAGCCTTTTCCATGAATTTATGTAAAATATCATTTTGTATAGATGCCAAGTAAATTGTTTGACTTCTGTTTACAAACAAAGAAACTTCTTACCTGTAATTTGAAACATAGCTACCGCTAGTAGGAAAACATTACATAGCGGCTCTAACATTATTATTACAGGTATTCCTTGAGATACAACTGTAATGAGCCTGCCCATTATAATCACATGTTATGACAGCCATTAAGTGAAGTGTCTCATTAATGATCCCCCCCCATCCCTGCTCTCCCCAATGAATCAGTTAAACAAATATGAAGGTTGTTAAGTGTATTATGTGGTGCCTCAGGGGTGCGGGATGCCCTTGGAGATCTAGCATAGAAATCTATATTGGGGCACTGCTAAGAATGCGGTGGGGGTGGAGATGGAATGGAATGGAATGGAATGGAATGGAATGGAATGGAATAGAATAGAATAGAATAGAATAGAATAGAATAGAATAGAATAGAATAGAATAGAATAGAAGAGTTGGAAGGGACCTTGAAGGTCTTCTAGTCCAACCCCCTGCTCAGGCACGAAACCCTATACCATTTCAGACAATGGTTGTCCAATATAATATTGTACTTTTACCAATCTAATACCGTAGTTTTTCTCAGGTAGATTGAACTGACCAGGATGATTTCAAATAACATGATTACTTGTTAGCACTGAGGACTTTTGTTTTGGGTTATTTATAGGATTGGTTATTTATAGGATTAATTGCTAAGAATGAATTCAGATAAGTTAACAAGAAGAATTCAGTTCATTTTGTCATATGCTTTTCAAAAATGCCTATTTGGAGAGATTTACCATTGCTTTCAATGTGAAGTGTGTTGTAATTAGCACTGTATCTCATTTGTGAGTAAATGGATGATCACCTCACATTATAGATGACATATTTGTACGGAGTTGTTATCCCATCTTGATGCAGGTGAAGGAGGAGAGTTCAAAAGTTGGCTTGAAACTCAACATTAAGAAAACTAAGATCATGGCATCCAGCCCTCTCAATTCCTGGCAAATAGATGGGGAAGAAATGGAGGTAGTGACAGATTTTATTTTCCTGGGCTTCAAGATCACCACAGATGGGGACTACAACCAAGAAATTAAAAGACACTTGCTCCTGTAGAGGAAAGCTATGGCAAACCTAGACAGCATACTAAAAAGCAGAGACATCACCCTGCCAATAAAAGTGCAGATAGTCACGGCAATGGTTTTCCCAATTGCAATGTATGGCCATGAAAGCTGGACCATAAGGAAGATTGAGCGCCAAAGAATTGAAGCCTTTGAACTGTGGTGCTGGAGAAGACTTGCGATCCCTTGGACTGCAAAGCAATCAAACCGGTCAGTCCTAGAGGAGATCAACCCTGACTGCTCTTTAGAAGGCCAGATCCTGAAGATGAAACTCAAATACTTTGGCCACCTAATGAGAAGGAAGGACTCACTGGAGAAGAACCTAATTCTGGGAACAATTGAGGGCAAAAGAAGAATAGGATGACAGAGAATGAGGTGACTGGATGGAGTCACTGAATTCGTTGGCGTGAGCTTAAACAGACTCCGGGGATAGTAGAGGACAGGAAGGCCTGGAAGAACATTGTCTATGGGGTCGCGATGGGTTGGACACAACTTTGCGACTAACAACTACAACAAATTATCCCATTAAAATTACATTCATAAATGCAGCTTAACCATCACATCTATTTGTAGAGGTAGTTTCAAATGTCTGAATGACTTAACTAAATTCCATATTACATATTATGGTAGATCAGGATAATTTTTGTGATTTTCACATTAATTAGAGAACAAGTTGAAGATGCAAGGACTAGCAAGCTAGTGTGAAAGCTACTTTGGGGCATATTTCTGTAAAGACATAAAACTCTTTAAAGCATCATAAGATCAAATTTACTAAAAAAGCAAAACAGAACAAAATGACCTGGAAGAAAAAAATATATAATAGCTCTTACCCTCATATTCTGGTTTTACTAGATCAAGCATTTGGCACAATAGGTCATGGAAGGGCAACGGCTCAATGCCCATAGATTCCATCCTCTCACACTGTTCTTCATAAAAATACTCAAGTTCATACATTGATAGTGTGCCATCCCCATCTAAATCCATGCATCGGAACCAATACTCAATACTACAAAACAAAGAGATGAATCAAGATGCATTTTTATAGTATGGCAGCAGGTAACAAGAGTTTTTGGGATGACTTTCATGTACATAGTACACAATAAAGCTTTGCCTGGACTTTCCCATATGACTGGTTGCACTAGAAATGTTATCTTGTTCGGACAAAGTACTAAGATACATAATACCCTCAATTGTTCAGTAGAAAATTCTGTGTTCTTTTCCTATCCTAAACCTGACTTTCAGTATCTTTGAGAGAGTTTTGGGTGGAAAGATGTTTTATTTTTAGCAGCTTGATAAAAGTTTTATATGACAAAAACAACACGCAGAGCCAGGGGTGGGATTCAAAATTTTTAACAACTGGTTCTGTGGGTGTGGCTTAGGTGGTGGGCGTGGCTTAGTGGTCATGTTATTGGCTGGGTGTGGCCATCTCAATATCACTCACATTGAGGCACGCATCTCCTCGCCTGGCCTCTCATGACTATGGGGATGCTGCAACAGTCGTAAGTGTGAAAAATGGTCAAAAGTTACTTTTTTCAGTGCCATTGTAACTTTAAATGGTCACTCTACACAAGCAAAGTACCAGCAAAGGAGGGGGAAAAAACTCCAGAGACATTCCTGAGACAGGAAGTCCAGTCCTGCCAAGAATGTAATAAGGGTTAACAGAGAGGCAGTTTCTGTAAGCAACCCTAGAATGTTTCCTTCCTGCCTTCCTTACAGGATTAGGCCAGTAATTTCTTCTAACAACCGGTTCTCCGAACTGCTTGGAATGTTAACAACCGGTTCTAGCAAATAGGTGCGAACTGGTAGAATCCCACCCCTGCGCAGAGCATTAGAATACATAACTTGGAAGAAGGTTTTAGTAATAAAGATAATTTTTACAATACAAGACTCTGTTGTAGGTAAATTCTTTCCTATTTAAAGCTCTTCTCATGTTAATTTTGTGTCTGGTAGTCAGTGAAGCTGGAGAGGCATGGAAGGTAGGTGTATTCTGTGTTTCTTTTATCTTTTGCACCAGTTCAAGAGTAAACTCACACAATGTACAATAAACTAAGCAAGGAATTAGCCACATACAGAAAATAGTTATCACATACTTTTTATATTTTAGATATTTATTTTACCTTGTGAGGCATCTTTTGTCTTCTTCCGAGATCAGAAACCACACAAAGTCTGCATAGCTCATCTGGTTTTCTTTTTGTTCTTGACTTCCTCTAAAATATATAAAAATACATAGTTAATTCCTTAATTAAAAAATAACCAGAGACAATTTTTTAAAAATCACAGAGCAATTTGAAAGAGATAAAAGACAAAATTTCTATCCCTAAAATGTATTAAGGTTATCCATTACCTAATTCCTGAAAAAGTAATGTTTTATTAACCTGAAGACAGATTTGGAATCTTATCCTAATATTACTAACATGACAACTTTGAAATCAGGATTCTGGGTTGACTTTTAGTGCAATAATTGTGAGGACTGCCTTTGAAGAATCTTCTTCTGATGAGGCATTAATGCCTTTTCACAACCAGGAATGTGAATTGAAACCTATTAGGGAACAGTTAGTGGTGAATGCCTCTCAAAGAGGAGAGAAAACTATGGTAGAGTAGCTATTTGTAACCATGACCCCCCCCCTCAAAACCCTAAGTAATTTAAACCAAAATTCAATTTTTTGAAATGTTACCATCTTACCTTTATGTTACTACTTACCTAAGAACAGCTCCAGTGAATATTCTTTCTATAATTCTGCTTGACAAAGCTGTAAATTAAAAAAACCAAAAGTGTGAGGGGTAGTTTGTAGGCTGATCGGGAGACAGCTATGTAAAAGTTACCTACCTAAAGCTCACATTTTATTGATAAAAGATCTGACTCCTTGCTAGAACATAGAAAAACCACTGGAAAGGAATTACAAAAGTACCACCCAAAGGTCCTAGAATACAAATAGATTCCTATGAAAAATAGTTTCATTGCTGAAATTCTTGTAACCTGATCCATTCGCTTCAATAAATCTTGTTTAGAAGGCTCTGCTTGAGAAACAGATTACTGTTTGAATTAACTAGAGTAGGGTGTCAATCTGGCAGCTTGCAGGCCAGATGCTTCACATGCATGCCAAGCCCACTCTGCAAAGGCAAAAAAACTTGCAATATATTGCGATACATCATGTGACACGATCAAGTTTGATATAGTTAGGAACGTTTATCTCATTTGTAAAAATAAGATATATAAGACTACTACATGCATGCAACAACATCCAATTATATGCAAAGTTCAACATGAGTGTTATCATTATGCATTTTCCTAGATACAGGTAGTCCTCAAGCTACGACCAAAATGGAGTCCATCCATTACAGTTGCAAGTGGTAACAACCATAAAGTGAGACAGTCTAGCTTAACAACTTATTCTCTCTGACGCTACTGTTAAATGAATGCACAGGTCATTAAGCGAGCATTCAGAGGTGGGGGGAGGAGGCCCTGGGAAGCTCTCCACTCAGCTGGGTCCATAAAGCAGGCAGACAAGCAGCAAAAAGTTTTCCATAGCCAAAACCAGCTCAATGTGGGGGGAGAGGGGAGTGGGAGGAAGAGCCAAGCTAGATTAAGGCCCAATGTCATGTTCCAATGCCAGAGAGGGTTCCAAATAAGCTCCTGTGTTTGCCTGATGAAGCCAAGTTGTGGGCTGGGCCTCTGCCCCAATCAGCCAGCTATCAAATAACTGCAAACCTCTCCTGGCTCTTGTTAGCCTTTGAGGAAGCCAGGAGAGGTTTGCAATCTCCTGATGTCCAGCTGATCAGGCAGAAAGCTCTGAAAGCAGCTGCCGTTTCTGCAATGAATTATTTGAGTGGTGAAAATGACGGCTGCTTCCAGAAGGCATGGGGAGCAGACTCAAATGCTGCGGGGTACTATCATGGTGGGATGGTGGGGAAAGAGATGCAGGGAGGCACTATGTGAGGGCAAATGCAGCCATTGTAAGTTTGAAACAGAGTTGCATGTAACTTTTGGGAGGGTCTGTCATAACTTCGAACACCATTAAAGTACTTGTTATATCTTGAGAACTACCTGTATACTACATATATTGATATGTCTTTACTACACATCAATTTATTATGATTATTTTAGGTTTGAATTCCTTTCAGTCATTGTTTCAATCTTTTAATGCAATAATACTTTTTAATATGTAGAGGAGCCATTAGGATAAATCCATACAGTATGTGATGAATTTGAAACGTACAGACAAATATTAAATTGTGAACTTTTGCATGCTTCCATTAACTGTAGGATAAAAGCAAATTTTCCAGGTAAAAATTAGCATTATTACAAGATTTGAGAATAATGAAGAAGTTTGGATTTAGTTTCTGTTTATGATTATTTTCATTTTCAACTATCTGTCTGTCATGCCCCGGAGGAGACTGACTCTGAGGAAGAGGAGGAACAGCCAACAGGGAGTGGGAATGTGGCTCCAGAGGTGGTGGAGGAGGCTGGGGAAGGGCAGAGGCCGGCTGAGCAATCAGAGGAGGATCCAGGCCCATCCCCTATCCATCCTAGGTCACGCAGGGAGGAGAGGATCAGGGAAAAGCAAGGTCTACTCAAGAGGAGATTACCATGATCATCCTCATGGCTTGCAGGTGGGAGCTATGTATATAAGTTTGCAACTGTGCAGTTAGAATTTGCAGGAGTCAATTTAGTGTTCACCTTGAAAGAGGTTTATCTTTGCTGGCGTTCTTCCCATGGACTTTTCTCAGTTATTTTCCTGGAGTTTATGATTAGTTATCTTGGGTTGCTTCGGAACTCTCATCAATGCGGTTTGTTTTGGTTTTCTGTTTGCCTCATTATTTACTTTTGTGACTTTAAAGTGTGCCTAATAAAACAGTGAAGTTAAGTTGAAGGCCTTACCGGACTTTAATATATGTTCTGGGTTTGGGGTTATTTTGAGAGACTACGAATCATCACACTATCTTGCTTTGCAATGTTATGGCAAACACATAATTTTGTTTAACTATTTGCTTTGAGCTTCCCTTTATATCAGGTGTGTCAAACTCGCAGTGTCATGGCGTCATCACGATGTATTGTGACTTTTGTCCTGTTTGCTAAACCGGGTGTGGGCGTGGCCAGCACATGACACATCCAGCCCACAGGCCATGAGTTTGACAATTCTGCTTTATATACTTTGCAGTGACAATCCATATACAAGGATTGTTTTCCTATAAGCCAGTTCTGAATGACAGTTAATGACTAAAAAATAGGAAGTTATATAGGAAAAGGAGTAAAAAAAATGGAGGAAGTTACATTTGGAAATGAATTCCCATAAGGATTGTGTGTCTATCTAAAAGCACACACATACACACACACATGAACAAAAGCATAGTATATTTATAATAATGTGTTCTTTTGCATTTGCATTTCCTTACCTTGATCATTGTATCTAGCCAAATCGCTCTGATTGATATACAGATCGTGATCAGTGTCCAATTCCCAGAATTTACAATAAATAACATAGAAGTGCTCATAGGAAAAATAATCAGTTATTTGATTAATGTCTTCTTCTTCTTCTAAGAGAGCTAGAGTCTGAAAAGATAAGAATGGATTAATTCGACATAAAAAGATGCTAGGAAAGTACCAGGAACCTGGTATATTTAACAGAAGCCTACATTTTTATTTAATTGTGCCAATACTAGATAGAAGAATTCTAGTAACCAGTAACAGATTACTAGAATTTTCCTATCTAGTATGTCTACTTAGTAGACATACTCTTAGTAGAGTATGTCTACTCTAGTATTCCCCTCATATTTAAAATAAGCCTATCTTCCCAGAATGCATAACATTTTTATTACTAACTGAATTGCAAAATACACTGAATATTTTGTGGGAATAAAAATATTTTAAAATACAATATTGTTCATATGGATACAAAAAATTAACATACTTGCAGAAAGTTGCTTTTCTTCAGCTCTATTAATGATATTTTTCTAGACCATGATCTATTCACTATGTAAAATATTCTTTGAATAACCTGGAAAAAGATTAAATATACACCTCAAAACCACTGGCAAATTAAAGATTAAATGCATCATCATCACAGTTGCATAGATCTATGTTCTTTTTTGTTTAATCAGAAAAAAACAAACAATTCATAAAGTTGGAAAGGGCCATCAAGTCATAGAATCATGGGTCTGGAATAGATCTTGGAGATCTTCTAGTCCAACCCACTGTCCAAAGCAGGAGCTCTTATACCATCCCAGATGAATGGTTGTTGCTTTCTTGAAAACCTCCAACAATGGAGCACCCACAATTCTGGCAGGCAAGCAGTTCCATTGATTAAGCATTCTGTCAGGAAGTTACTCCTTATTTCCATGTTGGATCTCCCTCTAATGAGCTTCTATCCATCACTTCTTGTTCTGCCCTCAGGTGCTCTAGAGAATAAATCCACCTCATCTTCTCTATAACAGCCCTGTCCAATACTTTGATCAATTTAGGAATCCAAATTAATATAGCTATAACAGATGGCTGTCTGAATGCACCCAGTGAAGGGAAATCCGCAAACTATCTAAGTTAACTGATTCCGTATCAAACCATTAATCAGAATTTACACTACCGTGCAGTCCTGTGCAAATAAAACTTTCAAACACAGTCCCAGCAAATTCCCTACGAGGCCTGATCCAATCACAGTGACATAGACAGTCCATCATTTATATAGGTTTAGTGATATCAAAGCCTTAAAAATAAGAACTGGTCATTTGAGCACTGGGGAATTCTGGGAGTTGAACTCCACATCTCTTTACAGTTGCCAAGGCTGAGAAACACCGCTATATTAATTGCATTCAGTTAAATTCCTTTCATAAGTAGATTGGAAAGGAAAACAAGATAACTATTTCTATAACGTTGTTTAAAAAATGATATGGAATCCTATATGCAGCCACAAAGAACAATTTTATGAATTTATTATAATTGTGAAGAACTGAGCAAAGTTTGTAAAAAAAAAAAGCAAACCAGATATGAAAGATAAGGAAGAATTAAATAGTTGAAACAAATCAATGCCAAATAGCCAACCTGAAACTTTGCATAGAGAAATGCTAACATTATACATGTAGCCAACATACCGTAGTAATGTAGCGGGAATGAAATTCCGGGGCATCCTTTAGAAATGTCAATCCTGGATGAGTTTCAACTATATCCTGAAATACACCAGCATTATTAAATATTAAAAAAAAACCGGCACAAACTTTTAAATTAACATAGTACCTAAAGGGAAAAAGTAAAATAAACATTTATCACAGGATAAGCCATGCTAACTTGCTCTAACTATGAAGAAACAAGTAAAGGAGGGATGTTGGACTTTCCCTACTTTTTTATCACACCACTGAATCAGTGGTGGGATTCAAAAATTTTTACTACTGGTTCTATGGGCATGGCTTGGTGGGTGTAGTATGGCTTGGTGGGCATGGCAGGGGAAGGATACTGCAAAATCTCCATTCCCTCCCCACCTCACTAACCTGCTTTCCAGCTCTGTTCTCCTGTGCAAGGCAACAAAAGGAGACCCAGCCAATCAGCTGGGATTTGGGAGGTGGAGAATAGATGGGGGCAGGGCCAACCAGAGGTAGCATTTGCCGGTTCTCCAAACTACTCAAAATTTCCGCTACCGGTTCTCCAGAACTGGTCAGAACCTGCTGAATACCACCTCTGCACTGAATCATAGAATCTTGGCTCTGGAAGGGCCCAAACAGGCTAACAAACACAATTCCCTGCAGAATCCAAATGTGCAGAATCATGGACACTGTATCCTGCCTTCAGCTGAATTGAAGGGGAGTTATCTCAGTAATTGGTTCTACTATTTTTATTATTAGGAAGTTTAAGGCTGGAATTTAAAGGACTGGTCAAACATACCTGCAGTATTGGGATGAAATCTTCTTGTTCCAGATAGTTACAGTTAGGTTTTGCTAAAAGGCAAATAAATTTTGATGCATCATCATGACAGTTGTGTAGAATCCTATAAAGAAGAAGTAAACTGTGTAAGAGCATTCCGGTCAATCCAAAGAGGAAAAACATTTTATGATTTCAGCCTCATTTAGCATTGCCCAATCTTGGCATTTTTCAGAAATGGACAGATCTGGGGAATTCTAGAACCTAAAGTCTATAAATCCAGAAGACTGTCAAACTGAGCAAGGTTGCTATAAACTGGCATCTATAATATAGAGCCAAAGCTACATGTTACATTCAAAAATTTCTGCCTTTAAGTGCAAGGTTATTGTTGTTTCATATATGACAATAATGATAAAAATTACATAAATAACCAGGCCATAATAAAGTATAAATCTAGCTATATCTATATATTTTATGTGCACATATGCATGTATGTCAGCCCCACTATTTAGTCCAAACCAAAAAATCAACTTGACACAAAGTTGACACTACTGTTATTAATATTGGCTATAAAAACAGAAACTTGCAAGTCTGATAGTACTTTCCCCAACCCTTTTCCCCAAATACTATTGTGAATTAGAAAAGCTTCTACCTGAGTCTTTTGAACATGCCTTCTTCTTATTTTGGACTTAAGCCATGTTTTCCCCCTGTTGCTTTGGTAACAAACAGATCTGGCCTATCTCCATCCTCCTCCTAACTTCCTACAAAATGTGAATATGTACAGTATGTAGTCTACCTCCTTTCCTTCCTTTTTTGATTCAATAAAAAGCTGCCACAGGTGGGGAATTGGACACACACACACACACACACACACACACACACACACTCAATCTCATGGGGAAAAAGCCTAATTAAAAAGAAAAGAATAAAACAACTTCTAGTGACATAATGCCAGTTGAGGGCTAGTGCTTTATGAATATTTTTTTTGAATGGTGTCTAAGTGGTATGTAAACAGTGGTGTGTGTAAATGGTTGTAAACATTCAAAAGAGGCAATAAAAAGCTAAGAAGGAAACAACCTTAACATAAGACAAGCAGAAAACAATACCCTAATCAAGGACTACCTAACCCCCCCCCCCCCAAATGAACAGTGGCTTAACAAGCTACTATATATAAATAGGGAGAAAACTCCACATTCACTAGCAGTGGTATTGTTACATAGTTGGATAATGAAATATCTGCAAGCAAACAAACAAGGTTGAAGAGAATAAATGACTCCAGAGTACAAATCTGTGATACATATATTCTCTTCTATTGACGTACTATATAATTGTACAAAGGTTTATTTGAAAATACATAAATTAACACAAGATCATGGAATCAAAATGTATATTTTTGTCTTTAAAATGTCTAATAATGTACATTTCTTTGATTCAGAAATTGATATGCTGCCCTTTAAAACTGGATTTGTCAATGCAATATATAATCAAACAACTTAAAAATGATAAATTATAACACTAACTTTTTAAAAATCACTAAAAAAATTTGAAAATGCTGGAACAATTATCAAAACAATAAGTTAAAAAAATCATATAGGAGTTTTCTGCTTTCATGTAGGATAAATCATCTACCAATAACTGAAAAACATTGCCTTTTGTACATTAAAATTGTAAATGTGAATGGTTGCTGTCCAAGGCAGTTGCTAAATGAAGACTACCTGTAAACAATTATGATTTCTGATATGTTAAAATCTGATTCACTTAAAAAAGTAAAATCAGTTTTCTTTGCCCTACATGCCCTGGATAGATCAAATAATATCTCCAGGGAACAAAAACATAGCTTTCTAAGTTTGATAGCTCAGTCCTTTTCTACCCTCTAATTTCATGCTGCTTTATCTGAACTAGAAGAAAATTGGTATCTTCTTTTGCAACATGCAGCTTTACAGATGTTGCAAACATTTTGTTTTCCCACTGATGGGAACTTTCATCTCACTATTTTAGAACCATCTCTCATTTACTAATATTTCAGCTTCCTCTCATAACAACTACCCAGATTTGCTTTGCATATAGAAGAAAGATGTCATAATGTGAATCCAGAATGGAGAAAGCAATTTTATTTATTTATTTGCATCCTGCCCTTATTGTATTTAGAAATAACTCAAGGCAGCAAACATGTCCATCTTCCTCCTCCTTTTTTCTTCACAGAAACAACCCTGTGAGATGAGTTGAGCTGAGAGAGAGTGACTGATCCAAAATCACGCGGCTGGCTTTCATGGCTAAGGCAGGACATGAACTCACAATCTCCCACTTTCTAAGCTGGTACATTAACCAGTAGACCAAACTTCTTCCCACTTAATTTGTGAAGTGAGAATAAAGCACATTTCCCGCTCTGAAATGTGCAAAAATTTCAGCGAAGTCCTCACTGAATTATATTTTCTTCTACAAGGATTTAGCATTATGAAATCAATGGATGTAAAAGGGGTGTCTATTGACCTTAAACTACTTTCAAGCAGCATGGAGTTGTCTTAGACAGTGCTGGAAAACACTGCTGTTTTCCCAGGCAGAAAAAACAACAATGAGATTAGAAGCCCCATGGGAAATAGATGTTGAAAGCAGAGTAAGGTAGGTGGTGGGTGAAAGAAATATAGATCTGGGAGAGGGAGTGGCTGGGTTGCAGAAGATTGTTGAGAGAGTTGGGAAAAACAGTGCTGAAATGTAGAATCCCAGCAGAAGGATTGAAGAGGAAAGACTGAGGGAAAGTGGAAGAATCTCAGCAGAAAGGTTGGAGTAGGCGAGAGATGGTTTAGGAAACCTCATCAGGGTAAGTTAGGGAATCCTGTTAAATGCAATAGATAAAACAGACAAGGAAGTAGAAAGAAAGAATTTCATACACTCATAAATACATAGAAAAAAGGAGCATTCTATTTGCATATAATTATCATGGCAACTAGCAGTAGTACCCTAGACATGCCTTCAAAATTATAAATACCTAGGGCACAAATAAGTTGGAGATCCCTGTTTTAAGAGAATATTTTTACACTTGCTCACTTTCTCCACATGGCCACAAATGAATGTACAGATACAAATCCTGTCTGCTCTCCTCCAGATGCATTGAACATGGGGGCTTTCCAGTATAGGGGACAGCCACATATCTGTAAAAAGCATAAAACAAAATATTGTTAATATCCAGGAAAAGACATTATTTTTCTCTAGCCATTTTATTAAAACATGTTGGAAAATAAAACCCAGGCAACCGATATGCAGTGTGCTATATGATTGAGTTCAATCTTACAGACTTATTGCTTAATTTATGGTTTTATTATTTGAATTATTATTTAAACTTTTTATGAAAATTATATTAAAATTCATTTAGAAATTTTTACCTATGGTGAAGATGATAAATCTAGGGATGTTATCCTGTTGTTTTTAATGTATAGGTTGTTTTATTATATACTGCCCAAAAGTACCTTTCATCTAGAACAGTGGTCGCCAACCGGTGGGCCGCAGAGAAAATTTTGGTGGGCCACAGAGAAATCTCAGTCCCAGAGCACCCCCACAAAGCAATTAATCCAGGCTGCGCAGAAACACAAGGATGCACGGCCACATGGCCCATGGGAACCCTCCCTGCCCACTCACTCCTTACACGGTAAACTTGCCTGCTAAATTGCTATTTTTCTTTTTTTCCAACCATCATCTGTTCTGCTCTGCTGGGAGATTTAGATTAGCTAGGAAGCAGGAAATGGTTGGATTTCTTGCTTTCTAGCTAGTCTTCAGATCTTTGGCTCAGCACAGCCAAACCTCCCTTAGGACTGAAGGTTTGCTTGCAAGCAAATTCAGTGCAGACTCACGGCAAGCAAATTTGAGAGGCTGAGCTAGCCAATGGCAGATAGATAGATCACTGAATGATTCTTTGAGCAACTCAATCTGCCTGCTTTGCCTGATTTTGGGTAAAAGTTGCTCTTTTAAAAAAACAAAAAAATCAATGTTTACATGCATGGTGTGTTGTGAGCTAATTTTGTGAGTTTTCTTGCTAGCAAATTTTATGAGTTTGCTTGCAAGCAAATTTTATGTGACAGACTGAGCTAGCCAATGGCAGATAGATAGATCTCTGAATGAATCTGTGATTCTGTGAGCAGCTCAATCTGCCTGCTTTGCCTGATTTTGGGTAAAAGTTTCTCTTTTTTATAAAAAATTCAATATTTATATAAATATGTATAATATTTACATACAAGCCATGCCCAGCCAGTCACATGACCAAGCCACACCCACAAACTATGCAACCCCCACAGAACCGGTTAGTGGTCCCTGGAATCTAAAATTATGAGTTTGGTGGTCCTGAGGTCCAAAAGGTTGGCGACCCCTGATCTAGAAGATATTGCTTCCCTCATAATTCTCCAGTTCTAAGCTAAACCTATGATGTTCAGATTTTTCTTAGTCTAAACAAAGGATCTTCTAGTGTTTACTCAATGACCAACACTTCTTGTTCTGATGTGAGTTTATGTCATTATTGGATACCAGAATTTGCATTCATTCATGGCTTCATGCCATAAACACAAAATTAAAATATGCTTCATCCAAAACCTTCCTTATTCTTTAATAAATTATTATTTTTAGTTATATTATAAAAGAGATTCCAGCTTTGAATACTCCATAAATTCAAAAGATAATTATGCTTACTTTTATAATTTTCCCCATTTCATTATAGGGAACTTTCTTATCTTCAAATTCTGAAAAGGCTGCTTCAACTTTTGTAATAATTTCATCATGATTATTGCAGATATTCGGAAGTCCATAGGGAAAATAGAAAGTTGGAATGTTTATGGACAAGGGAGCACCAACAGTTTCTTTATTTGTAGACAGTAGAGACTGTGGGGTGATTGTTGAATTTGTAGGAGTTAGAGATGGTGTCACCGGTTTTTTATCTTGCTTATTTTGGACCTAAAAGTTAATAAAATTACAATTTTTATGCAATAAAATTTGAACAAAGAAGGTACAAAAATAGTTTTTCCAATAAACAAAACAAAGTTACAGTAAAAAAAATAAAAATCAACAAGGTGTGTATATACAGAACAGTCTTATTTCTCAAAAAAGTACAACAGTATTAAAACATTTTGAAATTTTAGGTATCAATTGACAATTCATCCTATATGATTAAATACTTGAGCTGTATATACTGCAATTCTTGTAAACGCTGCATTTATTGTACTGCTACTGTACAGTATATTTTAAAAACATTCTTAAAGAAGCACTTCTTCCTTTTTACAGCTCCCTGCTACTTATGTCTTTATGGTGTGTTTTGTCCATTCCCTTGTTTCCTTTACTTTTCCCCATAAGGGGTAGTGCAAGGGGTTAGTTTTCTTTGACATTTATTTTGAACCATTTTACACTGTTTATACTATTAAATCTTTTCATTTATTTTTTAATTGAATATCATTTGGGAACAACTTCAATCTCCTTAGTCACCTTACTTTTAATAGTCAGCATTTGTTCCCCCATACATTTGAAATGTGGTACAAAATGTATGTTACTATCAATGTGTGAAATAAGGCATTTTATAGAAATCCATAGAGTGCCAGAAATGGGACATCAAAGTATAAAATATTTAATGTTTCACACATTTGTTAGACATTCTATGCAATGGCAATAGACAAACTGGCAAAGTATGAAAAACTCCCACAAAAATGTGATTCTAACCTTCCTTGTTGCAACATGTAGGTCAATACTGGCGCTTTTTTCTCTTATATTTTTCAGTAAGAAAATATTGTATTTTATTTTGCATTTTTTCTTTCATTTTCATATACATCTTTTCAATAAAGGGTTAGGTTCCTAATCCTAACCTTAACTCTAACCCTTTTCATGACTCGCTTTTCATACTTTACCTAAATAGTTCTTATCATTCTATACAATGCCTAGGTATTATATATAATGCCAAGGGAAAGTATATATTAAAATAATACATACATTTCATACTTTGCCTAAAAAAGTCACACATTTAATAGATTTCTTACACATTCTATACAGTTCTAGTTTGTCACACATTGCTGGTAACATGCACAATACATGGAAATGCTCAGAACCATTTGGTTTTTTTTTTAAAAAAAAAACAGAAGTCAATTTGTTACCATGTTCTACTAATAATATTTATTTATTTTAACATTTTCACCTTCAAGAAGAAAATATCAAAAGGAAAAAAAATACCTGTTTCCTTTTATTTACCAACAAGGTATTTATGTACTAATCTTGGAAGACCTATTTTTAAACCAATAGGTATCTGGCCCAAATAACCTTCTGAAAATAGAGAAGCCTAAGCAAAGAAACCATTCCAACTACTGACCTAAACCAGAGATAACAAATAAGAAGAAAAAGTAAAGCACATTCAAACCTGGGCTTGCTGGAATGACTTCAACCTCTTCTTGAACCGTGATGGAAGAACAAAATCACAGCCTTTTGCAAGGAAAGCTAACTCTCCTCGTAAATCAGGATCCCTTCGCAGAGATCTATCCTTGATCATCATTTTTGTTACTTCCTCAGAAAATTATTCTTCCCAGCACAGATGTAAAGTCCTTTTGAGGTATCACTTCAACTATTTTCTTGATTTGATTGTATGAGAGGGGGCAGGGGTTCAAGAAGTTCTAAGTGAAACATACCTTGTCTTTTTATTCTCAGAAAGAATTGCCTATATCTCATCCCAAGGCCAGTGGACTCTCTTTTTTGATATTCAAAGAATCCCTAAGCACAAAGATCTCTGGATGCCTTTTACCAATTATTTATCAAGAAGTATAATCTACACCAGAATCTGTCCCTGCTGGCTATATGACAGTGAGACAATCTGTCCTTGGCTGGTAATAGAGCAGAGGTATTATGGGAAGGGAGGCATCCACCCCACTACTAGCAGTGGTGCTAAAGTTAGACTTATTGCAGCAGTAGCTAAATATATCACCTTCCAAGGTACGTATTTTATGATGTTCTATGGTGAAATTTTAGATGCAAATTTAGCTACCAATCTCAACTGAAATCAAAACCATAATCTTTAGATGCCACCATAACAGCACAGATTTTTCTGGTTAGAGTAAAAAAATTGAAGTTTCTTTTATTTTTTATTTTTCATGTGGTAAAAAATACAGCTTCCTCCTGTCCAAAGGAGATATAATTATTATATGGTAACTATTATGCTGTTAAATATTTTCCTTACATTTTTAGAGATAAGACAAGAACACTTTAAAATAGACCTCTTTCCTAGTAGGATCAGAACTTTTAAAAAGTGTGCTTTTTAAATTAGATTAAGAATGGAGCTACCAAAATTGGTACAGTATTTAAAACCCAGAAAATGTATTTAATTTCATGTAGGAACAAAAAAAAAAAACTGATTATGCAAATTGCCATCCTTTGATATCCTAGATATAAATGAAATCTTGATTTAACAGACCTATTGGAGGGAGAGGTAGACATATTTGGGCCTTTGGGGGAAGTATTAAAACTGATTTCAGTTCTCATGAAAAACAGGCATATTGGAAAAATTATCATTTAAAAATGGCAGGAACTTTTTTTTTCCTGTTTCCTTTTGAAAATTTGGATTGAAAATGGGATAATTAATAATTCTTTCAACCAACCATTATGTAAAAATGGAAGTGAAATGAATATAAGCACTTTTATTCTAAAAGTGTCATTCAAATCATTAACAGCAGTTTTACCTGTGCTTTAATTTTATTTTTAAATTTACTTAAATTTATTGGCCTCTCAATTCCAGTGAATTCTGGGTGGTTTTCACACATGACAAGCTATTTTTGTATTGTGCACAAGAAATCTTAAATCTACAATAAAGAGTAAAACATTCAAGGACATTCAATGTAAATAATTTTCTATGTTACAGTATTTCCATGGAGCAGTATTTTTATATGAATGGGCTCAATTGTTAAGTGAAAAAAATCACATAATCTTACCTTGATAACCTCTGGCATCTGTTGAATTAATGGCGACACGGGTTTTTTCTTCGCTGTATCTATGTAGCTCTGCTTGTCAACTGTGGTGGAAGGTGTGGCTAAAGTTTCCTGAAGAATATGCATCACTTCTTTCTCTTTTGATAGGCTTCCTTTGCCCAATTGGAATTCTACTAGTTCTTGGGCAAAGTCTTCAATACTCTCCAAAATACGCAATAAAAGAGTTTTGTCATCTTCATCCATTTTATGACCATTGATTTCTACAAGTTTTGATAAGGAAGAAGACACACTTTTGTCTTCAGAAAAACAATCTTTGCCTTTGTCTTCACTGGTTAAATCACTACTTTTCAAATATCTAGAATCAGTCTGCTCCACCGTAGTTTCTCTCAGTGTAATTTCCATTTTTTGTGAAAAATTCTCCAAATCCAACAAAAGTTTATCTATCTCTTCTTGATTGTTTTTTCTAAGCTCTTCTTTAGAGACCTGAACATTATAGTTCAAGGTTTGATCAATGGAATCTGCTAAAATGGAGTGATCACCCTTTGACAGAGGCTCTGTAACATTATGTGAAGTTTTAGTAAGTTCTAAAGAAGGATTTAGCAATTCAGCTCGCTCCTGGCTGCTCTCTGAATCTCCGCTTATTGTTCTACTCTGAACACTTGATGCACCTCCCCTTACTTTTTTCCCATCTGATTCTTCTACAATATATAGAGATTCTGTGGGAAAAACACAATCTGAAGGATTTTGAAATTGTAACTGAGGTAGTACATGAGAATCATTTCTAGAATCTATATTGTTCTGCAATGCATCTACACTAGGGATTTGGATAAGGTTGGTTGAGGAATCTGCATCATTATTATCCTGAATTCTCTTTAAGTTAGAGGGAAATGATTGCTTTGCTACAGATGATGCAGAAGTGACAACATCTTCATATCTTGGTGGTTGCTCATTGCCAAATATTGGGGAGAAATGAGATTGCTCCAAAGCAGACAAACTATTAATCAGTTCTACCATGTCACCAGGATGTCTAAATTCAAAAGGCAACTGTTTTAGGTAAGAAGAAAATCTTGTCATTAGATTCATATAGATTATTTCAGAATTGCCCAAGGACTCACTATTGTTTCCACTATTGACATTTCCTGAAGATTTCTTCTTAATGCATTGCTTTATTATATCTGTACACTTCTTCAAGTCCTCTGAGCATTTTAGCAAGATATCTAAGCACATCTTAATATCTCCACTGGAAGAACCATCCAGTTTGTGCTTTTCCAAAATTTGTGTTATAAAATTGCCATCAGGAAAAGTTTCTATAGGCAATGGAACTATAGAACTCCCACTTTCCTTAACCGATGGGCTGCTGACATGCCATTTTTCTTCATGGGAACAATTATTTAGAACGCCATTAGGAGGGGAAAAAATTTCATCACTGCTGAAAGATCCACTGATCAAGTCAAAATCTAGTGATCTTCTGCTGAATTGGTCTGACTTAACTTTTCTTCCTTTTCTATAGTTTGCCTGGTTTGAAGAATTTCTCAGTTTTTCAAATGAGAATTCTTTTATTTTTCCACTAGCAAGATTTATGGCTTCTTCAGTGATATCTTTTAGATTTCCACTGCTTTGAACAGAAGATCCTTTTTTTAGTTTTGGATTACTAGGAAGGAGCTGATGATAATCTTCATCCCCAGGCAAAGCAATGGAATTTTCAGGCATTGAAAATCTGTGGGTCAAATCTGAATTTCTAAAATTAGGTGTAGAAACTTTAAGTAATTTTGCACAAACACTGTGGTGGGCCACTATGCACATAATTCCTTGTTTGAATACTTGACATGTCCCTGTGCAATAATGCACAACATTTTGAAGCTGATTATCTATTATAGCACTGCTGTAACAATTCACTGTTGTTATTACTCTTTTATAGCTTGCTGCCATAATCTGAATTTCAATTTATTGCACTCTGAAATGGCTTAAGAGAGCAATCAATTTACCCCACTTTAAATCTCATATTCGTACATCAATAAACATTGAGGTGGTTGTGTTAAAAATGTAGTAAAATCAATGCATTGTCAAGAATCTGTATTAAAAGATTGCAGACAATAATCTACAAAAAATTTAAATGACCAATATAATGTATGATTGTCTTTTAGATAATAGTAAATATTCCCAGACTAAAAATGTTGTAGTGATGAACAATTGTTCTCTTCTCTAAATAACAATGTTAGAAGTAAAAATGAAGAACGTTAAATCCACTTGTTCAGAAAATGAGGGAAAAACTTTATCTTGAATGTTTTGTCCAAACTTTCTCTGAACTTCAGATTTCATGGAGAAGATAAAAGCATGTAATGTGGTCAAATGATCCACTTCCTTCATTGGTGGGGAAGATGCCTGCAATAATAAATGTTGTTAGTAAACAAATTTCAAGCCTAACTTTAGATACTGCTACTAACTTTAGATAACCATTGCAAGAGAAGGAGTGGCAGAACCTGGCGACAAAGTCAAAACAAGAATCAGTCTAGAATCTCTACCTGGCACAAACAGACCAAATCCAATTCCTCTTGAATTCTGTTGACCCTTATCTAGTGCCAAGATAATGCTACCAATTTATATCATTAATGGGAGAAATACATGTTTAAAAAATCTTCCATGTACTGTAACTGGAGTATATGGAGTATATGAAAAAAAAGTATATGGAAAAAAGATTTTTTTAAATCTATTTCCTTTCTAATACAGATTTAATGATTGAAAACTACATTACTTGCTAATACTATCTGCTCTCCAATCAGATACCTTATGCAAAGGCAACAGATAATAACCATTAAGCCATGTGGGTTACAAATAAAATAATTAGTAGATAAAACAAATAAATCAAATATACTTAAATTAGTTTAATAGCTAATAGCTATTGCACCTAGAGTTGAATTAATTTTAGTTTGTTTGCTAAATGAAGACGTGAAAATTACTCTTTTCTAAGATCCAGATTTCATTTCCCAGTCATGACAACTATTACTACCAACATCTACAGACAACCTGCTGCCTCGATGATTCAAGAGGTAGAGAGATTAATTTCTTGCCACTCCTCATCTTTTTAAGATGGAGGCTGAAAATGGCTTCTGAGCTCTTCTGAGCTGAGAAGGCAGACTGCTCCACTCACCTTATACCCAAAGGTATACTCCCTTTCTACCTAGAAAGCAACAAAAGAAGCTATCATTTCAGCTTCCTTCTGTACATAGAAACTATAACTGCCTTTTGCCTACAAATGAAATAGAGAACAATTCTTCCCCAAGTTTCACTGTAGAAAGATAAAAATAAGGGGTAAGGTTTTGGGGAGAGGGAAGTATCTCATTTGAGGCACCAGAGGGTTCCCGTAGGATTAACACATTTATCTAAGCCATATACAAAACAGTCAGGACAGGAAACAGCTGTCCTATAACTGCCCAGAATATCTGTAATTCTACAATTCTCTTCTCTGTAGAATCTCAGATTACACTTCTAAATGCTGTACTGGATTTCATATTTTCATAGATGACATTAGAATAAATCATTTAATTTAGCTTTTTCCACAGGCTGCACTGACTAATGCAAATATCAACCTTAATCCACAGTATACTGAAAAAATATTGCCAGAAAAACTTACCCAGCAATTTCATCAAGCTATCAGGCTGTTTTACAGATAGGAATACCAGTAACATTTCAGATCACATCTCAGTTTGAAAACTGCATAAGGTAATAACACTGTATTAGGATTATCAGTGAGGTATGTTTATCGGCTGATAATCTCTCACTCAGTGAAGAAGTGCACATAAAGCACTTTCACTTTAAACCTGTTTTCACAAAAGCCACTATCATAAGAGCTTAGAGCAACCTTCAACAAAGTTTTTACCTTTAAGTATCCCTTGAAATAATTTTCAGATTTCAAGGAACCTGTATATAAAAATTACAAAAATTTCACAACATAATTTACTTCTAATTTATACAATCCATACTTTATACAACAATAGTAAATTGACAGGTCAGTCACTGAATTGTAGCATGTAAAAATTCACACCACTGCAAACACTGGCACTGCATGGCCTACAAAGTTCAAAAACTGATGTTTATTTATTTTAATAAAGACCTTTCTCGGAAATCTCTTGCAGAACCTTAGAGTTCTGTGGAGCCCCAGTTGAGAAAGGCAGAGTTTATAAGGAAATGTATACTGTATTGTGCAATTATGATTTTAAATAAATAAGCCATCATAATATGTTATTGAATATATACGTACTCTATTGATCTAAAAATCTTCAGCATCAGAATGACATCTACTTTTGTTTACTATTACCATGCCCATTACTTACTAATTTAAGGTAAAGTTCATACTTCTATAAATTTTATAAGATTCAAGCATTAAGATTATTTGTTTTATTAATATTCTGCATTTATTATTTTTATGGTATTTTATAAAGCAAGTCAAGTTCTTCCTCCAATTTTCCACACAACAACCCTGTGAGGTGAGGTGAGGTGAAAGAGAGTGACTGGCCCAAAGTCACCCAGTTGACTTTCATGATGTCAGAACTTGAATTCATAGTCTTCTGGCTCCTAGCCGGCCAATTAAACACATTATTCTAATAATACAGCAATGTAAATCTTAAATTTTAATTTATAGATTTTATTCTAATTTATTCCCAAGAATCTGGTTATGTGAACTTTTTTTCTTTTTGCACATAAAGTACTGAAAGTTAATAAGTAGCTTGGCCAAGCATCTAAGTAGCTGTACAACTTGAACTTTCTCTCCAAGATCTAGATCTGATTTACTGTGCCATAATAGTATGTGTTTACAGTATTCTAACATATTTTAGATTACCTTTATCTGATAGACTTCATGCATCTAGTCCTCTTTTATTTCATTTCCCACTATTCATGGATTAAATGTATTCTTACCCATTCGAATAATCTATGTTAAGTAGTAATTGCACACATTTTTAGAAAAGCATCCTTAATGTCATCGTGTTTATTTTGAAAGAAAAGCAGCCGATCAGCAGCTGTTGCTGGTGAGGCGACTTGATTAAACACAAACAATAAATAGTAACATATCCTGTCTCTACAATGCTACCAGATACTGAAAAGCAGCAAAGGGAACACTGAGCTCTGCTGTTTGGGTACAGCAAGCAAATTTGCAGCTGCTATTTCCTCCTTGTACTCATTTTCTGGAGACAGATAGGACGGCTGTGCTCACAGATGAATCATCTGCAATTTCATTCATTTTCTCTTTCTCCCTGATCCTTGGATCCCCACCATGGCATCTAAAGTTGCTATCATAGCCATGAAACCATTTTCAGGGTTCTGACACTTTCTTCTTTCTGTAAATAAAAAGACAACGTAGTTGACCTTCTGTTATGCTATAGTTATGAAGGACTAATTAATATGACCCTACAGAATCTACTCCTGTTGTAAATCTTGCCTTAAAGTCTTGACTTTAACTTAAGTAAGTTCTCTAGGGCAATGCTTCCTAAAGTCTAGCAATGATCAGCAGATTGTTTCAACTGCAGTGATTCATTGGCCTAAAAATGAAGCCAAGATGATTAGAGATTTCCATCCAAAATGAAGGGAAATGGTTGGTATATAACAAAAACAGCAAAAGTTAGCACAGATTCTCTATGGCTGTGATCAAACATATCTGATTATAAGTTACTTATTACTGAATTAGCTGGTTTATACTACATTATAAATCTCGAATTACAAACAACACTAGCTGGGTTCTGACATCCTAAGCTAAAACAACCAAAGTGCACTTTTGGCTTGGAGCATTCTGAGAATTCTGGGAGTTTAAGTCCACAAGTCTTAAAGTTGCCAAGGTTGGAGACCCCTGGCTATATCAGGGAGTATTTTGTCTTTAAGTAACACCTGCATTCAGCAAAGCTATCTAGAGTAATTCTAGCAGAAGCAGCAGCTAACATCTACATGATCATATATTATTTTCAGTGCATTTGACTGCCCTTGTCTCTGGAATCTCCCCACCACATACGCACTTCTGTATTATATCCTGCATAGCACCTAGCACTTCTCTATGTCACTCAGGTTCCTTACACAAAGTACATAATAGCACCCAAGGCCTGGAAACCAAGTAAAGCCCTATTCCAGCAAAACAATTCAATGGTTCTGACAAGAGGATTTGCATCATTTACTGTATTCAAATCACAGGGGCAGTTTGTTCAAAACAGCCCAGTAACAGCAATATGGACTTATATTCTTTTTTTTTTTTTCCCTCCCGGAGGTCGGCACTCCACTTTCGCCTACCTTTCTTAACAGGATTTGCTCATTTCGTAACTTTGGCGGCTGCAGTGATTACCTACACAACACTCTACTGAAATTGCGACTGAGGTCGAAAACGATTACCAGAGCTCAGAAATCATCCGGACGTGGGACTAGTCAATTTCTTTTCCCTTACCCCTCCACTGCAAGTTAAAAGTACTTATCCGTTCTCTTCCTGACCCTCTACTGTCACCCGTTCAGCTGGGGTCGTAGGTCTCCAGTTTTTCCAAGAGATACTCGAAATGCACGAAATCTCCGAAGTGTCTCTATTTTTTCGTCCCGGGCCGCTCCCTCTTTTCCCTTACAGCTTTTTTCCGCGCTTCGGGCCGCCCGCCCGCCCGCCAACGCCAACCCGATCCAACGAAAATCCAGCACAGTTCTAGCCAGATTCTGGATAAGAAAGGAGAGTTGGCTTTTTCGGCGCCACTTTCCTCCTCTGTTATTCGAGAGCAACAATTACTACCCAAAAGGGGACGCAGGGGCTAGAGACAGCCGTGGCAGGAGCTTTCGCACCTACCCGCCGCCGAGGCGATTCCCTCGCCCATTCTAAGGCTCTCTTCAGCTTCGACCCTCCTCCTTCCTCCACCCTCTGGCCGCGAGAGGCTCGGCTTCTTTTCCCGTCCCTTCCGCGCTACGAAAGGGGCGCCCACAGAGCGCACATCAGTGGAGATGGGGAGGGGAGGAGGCGGTGGTATTTCCCTGCCAAGAGGGCAGAGACTCATTTGAGCGCCAGCCCCCGCAGCTCCCGCCTGGGATTGTTTTTCTGCGTCCCGTCAAGTCTGATCTTTGCTTGTCCTGCCTGAGAAGAGCCGCAGTCAATCGCCTCTGAGGGTCCTGGGATTTAGGGAGGGAATTCTTGTGAAGTTCGGTTTGAGGAGGAGGTTTTAAACAAAAGACCAACGCCCTTGACATTAACAGAAACGTTGATCTCATCTTTGGCCTTGCTATGTTGCAGTGGAAAGTATTAAACGTTCTTGAAAGATTAAGAAAACAGAAAGGAAAAAGAAAATGATGTCTTTATTCTCCACTTTTAAACCACATGATTGTGGTGCAATGAGCCAAGATTATGGAACCCTTAGGTCTGACATTTCTGAAATGCCAGCTGCATTTTCCTGTCTCTGATTCCAAAGCTCCAGGGCTCTTCTCTTACAAAGTCCTTATGTCTCACTTTCTTTGGCTCATAGTTACTCCTACCGCACCCATCTTGTGCATTCATCAGCTTCATCCCTACAGGCTGAAGTTGGCTCCTAGTTCTTTATTCCATTCAACAAAGCCATAAGTACTAAGTTGAGCAAAGAATGTGAACAATGGTATATGCAAAAATAAAATTTGGACTGATTCATGTATTACATCCAGGCTATCTTTTGGAGATTCCCTTATAACATACCAGGCTGATTTTATGAAAAGTGCTCAAATAAATTGCTAGGATGAATCAAATTATTCAGAAGGATTTTGAGGTACAGGTATTTAATATCCTCAAAACTTAAAACCACTATAAGACCATGTCATGGTTTGACTGTTAGAAACAAAGAAACAGTATGTCAGAGAGAAAAACTATAACTCGGGGACTCTTCTGTTTCATCCAGTTCACTATTTTCTATTAACTGAGGACCTTTCTCCACTGCTAAAAATGAAAGTGCTATCCACAATCTTTGAATTTACTATTCTTTGAATCTACCAAATAGTTGATTCTATTGCCTCTTTCTCACTATTGAATAGTGCTGTCCTGATTTTGCATGTCCAGCACATAATAGCGATTGGTTAGTTCCTCCTGTTTTGCTATCCTTCATCTTTTGCATCCAGCTCTTTAGGGATATGAATAGAATGACAGCAATTGAGCTAATGTGGGATCTCTGTTGTCAACCCATTTTCCCTAAACAGTCCAGTACAAATTGTTTTCCAGGTAGATATAATAAATACATTCCCCAATAACCATCAATCTTAAGAAAATCCAATTCATCAATTCTGTTAACTCCAGATCTATAGAATTTGTATCTCCTTCAGCCTTCTCAAATGAATCTGCAGTTTCAAAACCAAATTCCTTCTCCTTGAAATTAGCCAACAGCAATTTAGATTCCAATCCATCCAGTTTTGAGTTTGAGTTGGCTACAGTTGCCTGAATATCCTCTTTAGGCTGATTTAAAACTCTTGTTTTTTTATCAAACTTTTTTTGAAGTTTTCAATTTGAACTTGTAGGTTAAAAAGCATTCCCCTCCCCCACAAGTCTTCTTAGAGGACTTTATTTTTACAGTTTGCATTTTTAATATAATCCTGTAACTGGGCATTCACAACCAGACATAAACAGTTCCTTTCCAGGACAGGGGAGTTACCAACTTCCATATGGAGAAATATAACATCTCATTTACAGTATGTCCTTTTACTGTATCACATACTTACTATCTGCAGCAAGTATAGGATTAGCTTGTTAGAATAAGAACCAGAGCTTTGGCAGAAAAGCTACTATGTTGCCTTTCAAGGAATATGTGCATGATATTTTCATACCTTGAAGGATACCTCACTCTGCCCCCTAGAGTTATCTTGTTTTCTTATCAGTTATAAAACAATTACACATGTTCAAACGGTCTTTGATCAACAGTCTATATAAAAGCTTGGATGAGGTGATGCATCCATTCTGGTAGTCCTTCATCTCTCAGTGGCTTTTGATACCATACACAGTATTCTTCTGGACTGTTGGGAGGGTTGGGAGTGGAAGGCACTGTGTTGTACTGTTTCACTTCCTTCCTCAGAATTTGATTTCAATTGATGTTGATAGTGGAGGGGAGTTGTGCTTGTGGTCCCTTGTTTATGGGATGCGTCAGGAGTTGACACTCTTCCTTTTCCAATTTAATATCTGTATGAAACTAATGGCTAAGGGTTTTAATATCATCAGTATACTAATGATATCAAACTTTATAGCCCACCCCCAGGCTGTGCAGGTGAAGGTGTTGAGCTATTAATCAATGTCTGAAGGCTGTTCAAGTCTGGATGGGGCAAAACATCTCAATCCTTTCCAATCTTAGTGGCTGTGATAGTTTGGAGCAGGTTTCAGTTGTGACCAAGGAGGACTTTGAATAATCATCAAATATACCTGAAGTGGGTATACTCAAGATTTCTTCTATTAAATATGATAATCCTACAGGACTTTTGCTGCCATGAACTCACTGTATAAATGAGCCATCTTCCTCTCAGCATGACTGTGGAGTCCCACATCAAACTATGGATTACATTGTGACTGGCTGTAAGCTGAGGGCATATACTGGTCAAGTACCTGATTTTTTTTTCATATAAATGATGCTTCATGTCAATGGTTAGATGGCCCAGATATTGGTATCTGAATACACACATGTGTGTATGTGATTTTTATTGTTTTTTTAATCTAGGAAAATTGTTAATATATGTTGCAAGTCCATACTCTAAATAAATAAGTGTGTCTTCTCTGTCATGGCCTCTCTGGAACAGCATCCCCAGAGATATGGACATTCCTAGGATTCTAAAAAGTACTTTAAAAACTGGCTTTGCTCTCAGACCTTCAGTTAATATATTTGTATGGCCTCTATTTGGTTTGATTTGTTACTGTTTATTGTTTTAGTCCAGACTACTTGTGCACTTGTATGTTTTAAACTGTTATTGTTTTGTATTTGTAAACTAATTAGATTCTGTGGGAGTGGGAAGCTATAATAAATTAATACTTTTATTATTTTGTGTTCTTGCTCCTGAAACATTTGGATACAGCAGACTAGTATAGCGTCACAGCTTTGGAAAATAAAACAATTGTTTAAACACTCTTTTTGGTATTTTTTGTGTAGATTTTCTACCATATGTGCTCTGCAAATAACACATCAGAGCACCACCATTTATCACAAGCCAGAATAAAGGCAGAATAGAGATCAGCACACAAGGGACAACTATAGGGAGTCACAGAGATTATTTTGAAGAATCTAGAGACAATTATAACATATGCAAAAAAAGATGTTAAGCCTGAGAAACAGTGAGAGTATCAAGGAGAGACTATCTCCTTCCTGCCTCTCTAGATATAAAAGGGAGAAAAAGAAAAATGCACTCAGGCTTGCAAGATTCTATTAGGACAGATTATCTCAATAAACTATAGTTCTTGTCATCCTCCTGAATCTGTTTCTTGGTCTATCAACCTTGAAGGGCTAATAATAGCACATTTTAAGGTGGTATAGTTTTCTGATTAGGATGAGAGTAGAGAGCTGTAGAAAGGCCTTAATTTGTAAAGGTGATGTATTGAACAACCACTGCCATTGTGAGGCATTCTTACTGCTGTTTTAGCACATATTTAGAAAATGTGGTTTGATACTTTCAACCTCCTGTGTTCCATCCCACTGCAATGTTAAACTTTGTTTCTAAATACTTTTAACATAATTACACATCCGTGATGTGCAATTTTTCCTCATGCGTTAGAAGTGTATGTATGTAATTGTGACATAATTGTCACTAGATGGCGTAACAGCATTAAGCAGCCGAATTCCTTATCGGTTTCTCCCATTCACTTTGCCAAGGACAAATTCTGACAGGTGGTTTTACCGTTACGCATGCGCACGCCGGCCTCCACCCCCATTGGCTCAACGCCCAAACACCCAAAAGGCGAGTTGGCGCATCCCGTTTCACGTTTTCTTTTCATCCTGATGTTCTGTAAGCAGGTGAGAGTAAATTACCTACTTCCGGAAATAATCCCTCCCTCCCTTCAACAAGTCCTCGTCACGCATGCGTGTTGCTCGCTGCCGGAGAAACTGTGTTTTTTTTTCCTCCCCCCCCTTCCCATTCGCTATTTCAACTGACGGGATGTAGTTGCTTCCTTCCTTCCTTCCTTCCTTGTATCTCCCCCGGCGATGTGGGTGCGCTTGGAGGAGGCGGCAGCAGCAAGAGCAGCGCTAACAGTCATCGCAGCGGTCCTGGCACGAGCTCTTGCGTGGGGTTGAACGGCTAGTGCCGTTGGCGTGCGTCAAGATGGCGTGTGTGCTGGAGACGCCACTCCGCATGAGTATCCTGTCGGTAAGTGCAGGCCCGGACCAGCAACGGCAAAGGCTCTAGCGCTTCTGCTTCCTGGTGAAGGAAGTCAGCCGCATTAGGGCTTCCGTTTGGCGGTCTTTTTTCTCTCTTAACTGGGCTGGGGGAAGTGGGGTTGATCCTCTTGTGTCCAGCTGGGCGAGTGAAGGACTACTATCTTTCTTAGGTGGTTCATAGCGAGTCCCGCCCTCCTGGAAGCTTACCTTGTTTTTTTTTCTCTTTTCCTTGCAGCTACGATAGGAGTAGGAGAGCCTTGGCTGCTTTTTTTTTTTTTTTCCGCTTTGAGGTGGGCTTGAGATTTGGGGATGTCCAACTGCTGGATTTTTTTCACTGGAGGAAATAAAATAAAATAACCCCCGCTGCGTTATTTTCTGCGTTAAGATGTCACGGGGATAATAACAGCAGTAGCTCTCGTCTTGTATCCATAAATTTGGAGGGAATTTTTCTGTTGCATTTTTCTTCTTTATTAGTTTTGTGCACTAAAAAAAATCTGCCAGTTTTTTTTCTTCATAGAAGTTCAGTTTATTTTTTTATTAGAGTGGAGAAAACGTGTATAAGTAATGGATTTAGTTTTAGATTTAATTTTTTAAATGCCTGATTTATTTCCTAATGTTGAATCTGAACACAATTAGAGGAGCATTCTGCAAAGCAGATTTCTTTTCCTTTAATAGACATTTAGAAAAAAAGTTAACAGCAGTTGCAAGTTCCACCTGCTGTAGTTTCCTATTTTGCTCAGCTGTTAATTGTACAGTTCTTTTTTTATAGCAGGTTACAGTGAAGTTGCATTGAGTTGTTTTTAATATGGACACACACACCAAGTATAGGCACTAAAATGTATATTCCATTCTGATACAAGTAGTCACATAAAATAGACTTGTCTAGCCAGTCTATTTGTGTGTGTGTGTGAACGTTGGATTCCCACTTTCTATAGTTGGGTGGGGAGGAAATGATTATGCTGTTACAGCTACTTCAGTATCACTTATGCTGAAATGTATCTGTGTAAAGAACATTTAAGGAATATGTTCTTTTAAATATGATTTTGTTGGGATTCTGTCTTTGCAAAATCTATTACCTTGTAAGTTGGATATGTTCCAATAGTTTGGAAGGGCTGTAGGAGACATGGAAGTATTGTTTTTCTGTATTGTTTTTACACTTAACATCCATTGAAGAAAGAAAAGTTTGCACTATGAACAATATTTCTGCAGCAAACCAGTGTTTTGTGTATATATATATATGTGTGTATGATTCTGGAATTGTTCTTTGTGTTAACAATTTGTAGGCAAGTTTCTAAATATGGGGAACTCTAAGGAAAACTTGATTTAATGAACTGATATCTGGAATGAGTTTTATTATTCTTGATCATCGATGAAACAATAGTATACTGTTCATATTGAAATCATTATTTAAATCATATCATTTGCATATTTTTATATTTCTACCTATAGAAGCAGAATGATTAAAGTTTGATTTATCTAGTAGGATATGGATTTGACAACATCCCTATAAGAAGCTGTCTTAAATTCCTAAATAATAAATCCCTAAATAATAATTTAGCATTAAGTGCTAAAATGCTAGCTTTATTGAAAAAAATATTTCAAATCTATAATGGCAGTAGTTGAATATTGTAATGCAGTGGATAATACACTTGACTGATATAGCATAATATCTTCAAAAGCTCCCCATAATCACTTTTGGTTTTGAGAGTAGGTATATATATATATGGCATTCAGCTTGGTTCGGGTATTTTCCCACGTCATTGTAGTTGTGCTTTTAAAGTTGTAGCAACGTTTCGGCAGAATTCTACCCAAACAGAGTGGCTATTGATTTGGAAGCTGATTGAGTCTAGAGATAGTTTTTGTTTTTTGTTTACTCTCGATGAGATATATCGCCAGATGACCTACAATTTGGAGTGATCCTAGACTCAGGAGTCATGGTTGAACAGCAGATAGAGGCTGTAGCCATGATAGTCTTTCCACAATTATATATTGAATGCCATATATGTCCTTTCTGGATCAGGAAGCTTTACTTTCAGTCACTCATGATCTTGTCACCTTTAGGTAGATCACTATAATGCACTATTACAAATAAATATTACTGCTTCATAGTCTTACTTTCTTGAATTTGTAAAAATGTATATCGCTGATAGACCTCAAATGTCTGCTTACAGGAAGTTACAGCAAGTAGTCGCCATTATGTTGACAGATTATTTGATCCTGATCCTCAAAAAGTACTTCAGGGTGTCATGTAAGTAGCACAAACTTTTCTGTTATTGTGTCTTTAAATTCTTAGCTGTGTTTGAATCATTTTCATTACTTGCTTTTTATACTTCAACAAAAACTATGTATTTGAGGCATTACTAATGAAATATGCTCAGTTACTATTCTTTGTTAATGTATTAACATGCCGTAGTATAAATCTTTCTTTCCCTGCATGGCAGTTTCAGTATTTTTTGTGTGATTTCTAAATGATGCCTAAATCTTGTCCGCCATTTTATACATCTTATGGTAATGTATTTTTCCTGCCTGCACAGTATTCACCTTTGTATCTGATGAGAATTCTCCAGTGTTTTGAAAGATACAAATTAAGATACTTTTGCTATATATTACAAATTTAAACTAAAAGTAATATACATCTTAAATTGAATCATGAATATACAATTATACATGTATTTTATCTTAACATTTGAAAAATGAGCATGTGATATATAAATTATTAGAATTCAGATGTATTAAAACCATAATTCAGCATTACAATAAAATTCATCTCTGGTTATAAGAATGTTGTTGGAAGTTTCTGTTTAACCACAGTACATTATGTGTAGATTCTAATGTTATGATAATCATAGCAGTAGTTACATGAAACAAATGAGTTTCAAAAAGTATGGCTTGATTTTGGTTCAAGCAGTTCCAGTATGTCTTACCATCTGACCTCCCCCAAGTTCATTTAATATGTGTTTCTGAATTGGTCTGTGTCATTGTTTTGGTAAGGTGAACAAGCATTAATTCTGAATAGGGCAAATAAAGACAGCAAGGATAAAAAACATGTTCCAGTGTGCTTTTGTATTTTTGTATTGTACTTGAGAGAGAAAGCAATTGGAAAATACAAATCAGGGTTAATTAACTTGGTTAAGCGGTAGTTAAAAATAAAATTAAAAGAGAATTTTTACTTTGGCCCTGTTTTGTGTTTAATATAGACAGGTGCATAGATTTCTTTTTAAATATAAAATATGTAAACATTTATTGGCTATATGAGAATATCTAGGATTGGTTTCTGCTGCAGTTGATAACTTTAGGTTAACATAGTAAGGTAACTGGGCAATTCATAGGGTATTCTGTTTGTATTTACCCATTTTCTGACAGTTTTCCTTTACAGAGGAAAATACGCTGGTTCTCTTTTTGGATAAAAATGATTTTTTTTTCTGGAAATCAGATACTGAGTTGATGTTCCAGTATTGTATAAAAATTCCATTAATTACTCCAAAAGAATTATTGGCTTCTCATACGTGAAACAGCTACAAGAAATCCCTTACTATACCAATGAATTCCATATTTCTATTACAAACTCATGTTGAAAACCCTATAAATTTTTAACGAAACCATATGATTTATTTTCCAATTCCCAAACATGTATTTCCAACAAGAAGAGGATTGTCACCTACCCTAATGTTGTGTTTTATAGTCTGTATGCATGGATATGGATATATGGTGTAGAGACCTACGATATTAGAATTTCTCATGAGGATATTACATTGGAATTTCTATCTCCCAGAGAGGAATCTGGGAAAAAGAAGCTCAGTGAACAAAAGTAGAAGAGGTTTTAGTTCTGAATAAGTAATTACTTCAAAGAAGATGACCTATGAGCTTTGTTTCATAATACTTTTGGCATAGTTGAATTGCAAAAGAACCAGCTATTTCATTTATATTGTCGCTATGTCCAGTGTTTTATGGTACAAAAAATGAAGCCATTATTCTAAGGTAAAGGGAATCATTTTTTAAAAAAATTCTTTCCTAAGAAACTGTTGGAATTAGCATTGGGCTAGCTGTAGTCATCTTTAAGATTACTTTCAACTTTCATAACTTGTACTGACATATTTGCAATAGATCTGTAATATTTTGAGTTTATTCTATTCCCAATATCAATTCCCAAAATCATTTCAGAAATTATACAGTTTGCCCATATACAGTGGGCAACTGGCACAATATTTTCTAACTTGGAAAATGTTTTGTTTGAGAGTCTGATTACGCCTGATTTATTTAAAAAACTAATAAATGAGTTATACATAGTTGGAGAGAACTAACACAAGGAAGAATTAATAATGGAATTATACTGGGAATGATATTTTAGCTTTATCCCAACATTCTTTCAATAATTTAAAGGCAGTATATGTGGCTCAAAACCAAAACAATTGAAGATAAAAGATAAGAGTTTCCCCAGTTCAACCATGTCCAAATCTATGGGGCAGTGCTCATCTTCATTTCTTAGCTGAGGGATCCAGCATTGTCTGAAGACGTTTCTGTGGTCGTGACCAGCATAACTGTATGTTGAAGTACATGGATCACTGTTATTTTCGCATCAAAGTGGTACCTATTTATTTGCATTTGCATGCTTTCGAACTGCTAGGTCAGCAGGAGCTGGAGCAAGTACTTATTAAGGTTATCTTTATTAATTCAAGGTCACTCACTGAATTTTGTGGCTATGTGGGGATTTGAATTCTAAATCTCAGAATCTAGGCAATTGGCAGATGACCTGAATGTGCTGTACTGTAGGCTTGAGAGGAAATCACTGTCAACTCCCCATCTCAGAAACACCAATAGCCAGATTTCCTACACCCCTATCTCCATCTCTCTGGACATCCCACCACTGGTGATCCTAGGAAAAAATGTATGAGATCTATTTTATGGACCAAGGGTCTCCAACACCCAGGCCATGGCCCATTAGCAGTCTCGTGGGGAGATGTGCTGCACAAGCAGTGGGCAAGCTTGTGAAGCACTATTTGTGCATGCATAGGATTAGGTTGTGTGAATGCAACCATGCTCTATCCCCCACTACTGCCGCCGCCAATCACAGACCCAAAAAGGTTGGGGACTGCTGTTATAGACAAAAGATTGGAAAAGCACCAGGCCCAGATGGAGGAACTACTACTTGCTTGAAAGTCTGTGCTGATCAATTGGCTCCAATCTTCATCTGCATCTTTAATAAATCACTGGAGATGTGTTATATTCCTTTTTGCTTTGAATGCTCTACAATCATCCTGGTTCCCAAGAAACCTTCCATCCTGGGATAACAATAGACCAGATGCTCTGATATCTGTAATTATGAAAACCTTTGAAAGGTTAGTGCTGGCACACCTGAAAATCATCACAGATCCAATCCACTGTTAGACCTCTTGCAGTTTACCTATCCTTCAAATAGATTGGCAGATGATGCTGTCAATATGGCACTGCATACATCTTGCAACATCTTATATCCCCAGTGACTTATGCATGGGTACTCTTTATAGACTTCAGCTCGGCATTCATTACCACCATTCCAAAAATTCTTAACTCTAAACTGATTCAGCTAGCTTTGCCTGTCCATACTTTTAGGTGGATTATAAGCTTTCTGACAAAGCAACAGGTGAAGCTAGGGAAAATCACATTGAATACCCAAACAATTAGCATAGGCTCCCTCAGGGTTGTGTGCTCTCTCTATTTCTCTTCTCTATACAAATGACTGCATCTCAAAGGATGCTCAAAGGATGCAAAAGATTATCTCATTTAAAGTACTGACGTTTGCAGATGGTACCACAGTCATTGGTTTCATTTGAGATGGTGATGAGTCTGCATATCAAGAGGAGACTGAACAACTATCCCTGTGGTACAGCCAGAACATTCTGGAGCTGAACACACTTAAAGTTGTAGCAATATTAGTGGAATTTAGGACACATCTACTCTACCACCTCTTATTATATTACATAACATAGTATCAACAGTATCAACCCAGGGTTTTGAAATGGAAACATAACATTAGAACTATCATTAAAAAGGCACAATAAAGAATGTTCTTCCTGTGTCAACTCAGAAAGTTCAGATTGCCCCAGAAGCTGTTAATTATGCAGAGGAATTATTGAGTCTGTCATTTGTACTTCTATAACCATCTGGTTTAATACAGCAACCAAACAGGACAGAGACAGACTTTGGTGGTTAGTAGGAAATGCAGAAAAAACAATTGCAACCAGCATGCTTTCCATTGAGGACCTCTACATTACATGGATCAGGAGGTCTGAGAAAATATCTACAGACCCCTCACATCCTGGACATAAACTCTTTCAACTCCTCAGGATGCTGCTACAGGGCATTGCATGCCAAAACAATTAGACACAGAAACAGTTTTTCCCTCATGCCATCATTCTGATGAACACCTAATTCCCACAGTATTGTCTTATGTACCCATGTAGTCTGGCCTTATTACGATTTTCCTTCTCATATTGTCTTTTACCTTCTATTATTGGTATCATTATTGTGATTATTATTACTCTGTTGTTTTGTACATTGAGAGCTCCTGCAGTGGAGACAAATTCCTTGTGAGTCTAATAACATTTGGCCAAATTAAGTATCTTCTCTTTTCTTTTCTCTAATTAATTTTTATAATTAGACATACTGTGATATAATTACATGAGATAATTTCTGTTGCTCAGCATTACTTAGCACACCCACTCCTTATTGTATATTATCTTTATCATATCTGATTTCATTTGTAAACATGGTAGGCCTTGCTAATCAGTGTTAGTGTTTGAGCATTGTCAATCAGTCCGTATGTCATTCACAATATATCCATTCAGTAAGACTCACTAACTCAGTCCAGATAATAGTCCTTACTATATCTTTATCAGCCGATAAAGATATCTTCTCCTCCGATGCCTTTCTCCAGAGGATAACGCTGGATATTCAGTAGAACGATCAAACAGTAGACAGTCGCAGTAAAACAGTAGTAAACAGTTGTATCCAGCAGTAAACAGCAGTAAACAGTAAACAGCAAACGGTAAACAGTAAAACAGTAGGCAATAGGCAGTAAGCAGCAAGCTTTCTCCTGCTTCCTCTTATTGCAGTTTCTAACCGCACCCTTAATTGGCTAATTACATGCAGTGTGATGCTTAAAGTTACAAACACTTAAACTATGATACCTTAGTTTATATATTTATCCACCCAAACCTTGTTGGGTATCAATGTTATACCTAACATTCTCCCCTTTTGGGTGATATAAAT